AGATTTAACTGACAGAAGAATTTCATCAGTTTGAAGTTCCGGATTTCTTAAGAGGATTCAATTGCTATAGTTTATGTATTGTTTTGTGTTTGAACAATGAGTTGAGGGAAAACTTTTTTTCAATTTGTCACACAAATTTGTCTGGGTAGCAAGTTCAAATACGTGTCACAGAATCCTTCCTCAAATGTCACACGTCACCAATAAATTATACCGAGCAAAGAAAACAATGTTAAAATTGATACGTCTATGTTTCAATTACCTCGACGTTTTCCCGCAATAAACAATGTCAGACAATGAAAAGCGACTCCAAAGATGTATCAATCTAAAGAGATTTTCCTGTGCTGTCGCCATAGTTATTTGCGTTTATTTTTATTTTATGTGCATAAATTATTTTCATTTTCCTTCCTTTTTGTTTTTACGTCATTTCTACCATCAGGATGCTAAGTATGACATGTTTCTGTCACCTAAGATAAACAAATTCTTCACACGACTAATTTTCGCTTGTCTTTATTTTCCAGTGGTTGAAATTTGATTCATTCGAACGAGGAAAGTTTTGGAGGAGTTTGAGGGTGAGTACGATTTCTGACTCAAAACAAATTCCAGCATATTCTGTCAGAACTCAAGTAAGGAGAAGCAAAATAAACTTCCTCTTGGAATGATGAAAACATTGATTGCTTTAGGAACAACGCTTTTTGAGCCGACGATTGAGAGCCTTATTCGCCTGTCGTGACGACAGAAATATTTCCGTTATATCCCAGATATTTTATCGCAATAGAAACAACCCTTTTACTTGCGCACATGATCAAATATATAGTTATTCTCTTTACAGTGTTGATACAAAATCCAGCAGTCAGATGATGAGAATAGCTCTATCAATCAGCATGAGGGCGTAATCTTGATTTGACACTAAATTCTCTCTAACAATTACAAAGAAATTTATAGCAGATGAAAGGGAGATCTTATCACATCAATCACATCTTAGCGGTCAGAGGGTCAACGCTTTGAAACACTCTTCAAAGTCAGAATTTGAGCCTAATTACGACTGATCTGAACAGTTTTTGCCATGAAGCTTTTTGCCAGATGTTTTGCTGTGCAAATTTTGTCGAACTTAATCGAACACCTCGTAACAAAATGCTTTCTGTCTGACCACATTGCCTCATTATCCAAGCCAACATCATAGCGACTGTGGTATTGCATATACAACAGATCAAATCTAAGCCGGGTGACGGAAGAGAGGCCCCGCTCTGATCAAAGCCGCGAAATTTGCATGCTACAAGCAAAAAACGAAATTATAACGGCTCAAAGCCATGATGCGTAAATGCGAATGTTAGAAAAAAACAGTTACATCACCGATCAAATTCAAGAAGAGCGCCAAGTTAGCTTTTATTTGTCATATAAGGGAGTCAAAGCAAAAGTTTTCATTTTCATTAAAAAAGACATCACGATCTGATTAAAACTTGGTCGTTTTGTTATTGTGTACGATTTAACAAAATGAGTCAAACCTTTGTTTCTTGATTTCTTTTTTCTTTCTTCTGCTTTTAACCGATCGGGTTTAATTTGCTCTTAGTACGGCTTTTTGTATTAATTATATTCTACTACGAAAAAAACGCTTCTGTTTCTTGCGTTTAGTTTTAAGGTCATAGCAGCCAAACATCAAGATATGGTCCTGTCGCTAAAAATATAAACTTTCGATACCCTATGGTCCTGCATAGCTAACGCTGACTTGTTTTTCTTCTCAGCGAGAGGAATTTGATTCATTTGTATGGAGGAAATGTCACAGAAGTTTTAGGGTAAGTACCACATAACAATCAGCTATGCTATTCTGGGGAAAAATTAAAACAACTTAACCCTTTTTTTTCCAGAAGTGATTAAGAAGTAGAAGTTGTTGTCTTGATCAAACAACAATTTCTCGTCACTAATGTACATTAAAATGTGTAGCAGTTAGACGGGAGATGGGTTTAAGAGCGAATTACAAATCAGGAGTTGTGTAGAGGCTAATTTATAAAAGTCTAACAAACACACGGCATGCACGGATTCCCTACTTGATTTGTACAATTTCAGTCCCAAAGCTTTGATTGAATTATTTTTTGTGCGCTGGATTACAGCATATTCTCTGAGATCTGCGAGCAAACATCATTGCGGCTAAAGCATGCACGAATACCAGTTTAAATCTTATACCGCGCCCGGTGTGGCAAAACTGCTGCGCCTGATCTACGCAGATGTATAATCGCAAAACTATTTGCACTTGATCCTCCTTAGTTTCGAGTTGTAAACTAGCTGTCTACTACAATTTAAGCTCATAAGTGTCACGCGACGAAAATATAATAGGAGTGGTTTGAATGAGTTTGTTCTGCGTTTATGTTCAATTAATAAGTGAATTCATGATCAGTGTCGTGTGAAGTCTCGGGTCTTAGTTCAAAGACGATTCGAAGGCCGAGATTCTTGTTTGGTTTTGTTTCAAAAGGATTGAGGCTAACTTTTAGTATCAGTCAGTCACGCAACATTCTTGCATGGCTAGAAGCCGAACGACCTTTATCGAATGCTCAAATGTCACGCATGGCTGAGAAAAACTACTGGAAAAAATACTGCTTTTAAAAAATATTATTAAATATACCGCTACACCATTGAAATATTTGTTGGCAATAAATGATGTTATGCCGCGAGGCTTAACCATCGATGAATATCGATGAAATGTTTTAGTTCTCATCGTGGTTGTTTGCGTTATTTCAAGAGTTTGGGAGAAGATGTATTTCAGATTATTGATTTTCTTTTCATTGTCTGTCACTCGATCAGAACTCTAAAAATAACACTCCTCTGTCTTCAAAAATAAACACATTTATTGCTCGCTTGCTTTCGCTTTCCTGGTGTTATTTGATTGATTCGCGCCAAAAGCTTCGGAAGAATTTTCTGTACACGGTCATTCAAATTTTATAATAATATAACAGAAAAATATTGGGCCGGTAATTCCTTTAAACTGCCTATTTATAACTCCTCTTAGACTGTTGTAAATATGAATCGTTTCAGTAACAACGACACCGTAAGTGAAAATTTTCGACCAGATTCTAGTACTGCACGTTCATTGCGTTTTACCTTTCAATCTGGTAGAAAATGATTCAAAGAATCAAAAATTATCCTCTTGCTAGCAGAACTGATTAACACGAATATTCTCCTGAATAATTTCATCGAAAATGCAACAAAGAGGCAAGAGAATAAACAAATCTATCTTGAGTTGTAATCTTGACATAACACAAAAGTCTCCTGTTAATTTGTTAGAAAGGAATTGGTCGCTCCACGAAAGGAGATGTGCTGTCTGATTTTAATAGCAGTTGTAGCAGTTGAATGGTTACCAAATAGGTTACTCAAATTCTAAAGTTAACTCGACACCTTTAATCATGTATCGAAGATTTTGGTAGTTGACGTTAATTTTCCGAGCTCACCCCGACATCTTCCAACAAATTGTACTGATAACAGTACTAGGGTGTCCCAAAAACATCAGAGCAGTTGCAGTAGCAGAAATCTAAGTCTAATATTTCCGGAGGAGCGTGACTGTTTCATCTGATCCCATGTTTTATTTCAAGCAAAGTCATCACTGTAAAAACCAGTGAGTGTACTATAATCTGTATTCATTCACAAAATTGCGTAAAACGCATTGCGCCACAAATTGAAGTTTCCTGTATTTCTTGAATGGCTTACATAGAATGTAGGCATTGGGCGAGCTATCAGTAATGATGACATTTCAACATGGCTTTTAAAGTTTAAAACGGGAACTGGCTAAGCACGTTGTCGCAAAAAAATTTGGCTCCATCCTGAGAAGAGTTTAAAATTCAAATTTAATCAAACAATAAGCAAAACCACTGGTTTTATACCTTGTCACGGTGGACGTTTCCTTTCTCTGCCTTTAGCAAAATTATCCTACTTCTAATGCAAAAAAAAAAAATTCAGATGATAAAGTAAGGTTTATTGCGTATCAGATTGTTAATGTATTGCAAAATTTGATATCGACTCAGTCAATTTGCTGCTTTTATAATTGAATCCATTTTACCATCTCAGTAGCGGATCCAGACCTTGAGCTAAGGGGGGGGGGGGGCGGTTTTTTTGTCGTTTGCCCTGCCGGTTTTTCTTCCTTCTGCGATTCTTTTTTTTTTTAACCCAAAATAAGGGAAGTGGGGGGATGGCCCGGGCTCCCCAGGCCCCTCCCATATATCCGCCACTGCATATGAGGAAATAATAATATAATTACCAATACAGTCGACCCTGTATATTTGGCGATCACCTTATAGGCGGTCAGTTGTCAAAATACCGAGTTGTTTCCTCTTTAATTACTGTAATTTTCACCTCTATTTAGCGGTCGCCTCTATCAAACGGTCGCGGTCACCCTCTACCAAGTCCCAACGGCCTGTTTTTAATGTCTTTCACTTGTAATGAACGATCACCGAAAGTGGGACCACTCAAATAAAACTAAGAATAATCTTTCAAGTAATTTTTAATCCATGTTTCTCTCCCAAAAACAAAGGAAGTATTATTATACTGAGATTCTATACATTAGGTGGCCAGTTGTGGCATAAAATGGCATTATATATCGTTTTTGATGATACCCCTAATCTGTAGAATCTCCATTTAGCGGTCGTCCTTCCATTCCCCGCGGGTGACCGCTTAATACAGTTTGACTGTTTATATGTCTAATAATAAAGAAAATTTAACTGAACTAAGATGAAAAAAGAAAATAAATAAGGAAGACCTTCCTATCTTTATATATATATATATCTTTTCTTTATTTCAGCGGCTTTCTTCTTAAACATTCGAAGACCATGATGAACAACAAAGCAGAAGTCGAAAAAACCATCGAAATAGCTTGTACTGTTGCCTTATTCCTTGGAAACACTAAACGCTATTTAAAAGCAATCGAGCTATGCAACGAATGTTTAGTGGTACTGAATAACGTAACTCACAGTAAAGAAGACCATTTTACAAAATCCCATTACCTTTTGATCTTCATGTTAATGTTTCGGGTATACTTCGAGATCAATGATCACACAAGGAGTGAAAGATGCGCCGAAATAGCTGTTTCACTATCGCACGACACTGGTAACGCGATGATAGAAGCATTCTTCAGCGTAAGTCTGGCAAAAATGTATTTTGACCAAAGACGGCTTGAAGAGTCAGAAAAATTTTGCGAGAGAGCAATCAGAATCTTAAAGGTAATTAGGGAGAGAGAAATAGAAGCCGAAGCCTACACTTGTCTCGGACGTGTTTCCCACATGCAAAGAAAATATCAAAAGGCAAAAGGGAATTTCGAGAAGGCACTTGCCATCCACATAGAAATTAGAGACAAGAAGGGAGAAGCAGACGCTCGCACAAACCTAGGAGCAGTGTTACATTCACTTGGTGAATATCAGAAGACTAAAGAATATTTTGAGAAAGCACTTGCCATCTACATGGAAATTAGAGACAAGAAGGGAGAAGCAGACGCTCGCACAAACCTAGGAGAGGTGTTACGTTCACTCGGTGAATATCAGAAGGCTAAAGAATATTTTGAGAAAGCACTTGCCATCTACATGGAAATTAGAGACAAGAAGGGAGAAGCACACGCTCGCACATGCCTAGGAGAGGTGTTATATTCACTTAGTGAATATCAGAAGGCTAAAGAATATTATGAGAAAGCACTTGCCATCTTCATGGAAATTAGAGACAAGAAGGAAGAAGCACACGCTCGCACAAACCTAGGAGCGGTGTTATATTCACTTGGTGAATATCAGAAGGCTAAAGAATATAATGAGAAAACACTTGCCATCAGCATGGAAATTAGAAACAAGGAGATAGAAGCACACGCTCGCAAAAACCTAGGAGTGGTGTTACGTTCACTCGGCGAATATCAGAAGGCTGAAGAATATAGTGAGAAAGCACTTGCCATCTTTATGGAAATTAGAGACAAGAAGGGAGAAGCACACGCTCGCACAAACCTAGGGGTGGTGTTATATTTACTTAGTGAATATCAGAAGGCTAAAGAATATTTTGAGAAAGCACTTGCCATCAGCATGGAAATTAGAAACAAGGAGATAGAAGCACACGCTCGCACAAACCTAGGAGAAGTGTTTGATTTCCTTGGTGAATATCAGAAGGCTAAAGAATATCACGAGAAAGCACTTGCCATCAGCATGGAAATTACAGACAGGAGGGGAGAAGCAGACGCTCGCTCTAACCTAGGAAGTTTGTTATTTTCACTTGGTGAATTTCAGAAGGCTAAAGAGTATTTGGAGAAAGCACTTTCCATCTTCATGGAAATTAGTGGGAGACAGGGAGCAATGAAATGTTTCATTGGACTCGGAAGTTGCTTTCTTTCGCTTGGAAAATATCGGGACGCTCACGAACATGGGGAGAAAGCACTCTCTATTGCGATGGAAACCGGTGACAGAGCAGGAGAAGCGGCAGCGTATGGTATCCTTGGAGAGGTTCGGTATTCCTTACTTGATTATCAAATGGCCAAAACATACAACGAGAAGCAAATTTTTATCAGCACTGAGATTGGTCGCAGACTTCTAGAGGCAACGGCATACCTGGCAAAAGCAAGGATTCTTCAACATGGCAAACAAAACAAAGCTGTAGAATGCATTGAGAAGGCGCTCTTAATATGTGGTACTATTGGCGACATTAGAGGCAATTTTGCAGCCCTAGCTCAACTCTCTTACATTAAAGTATTGCAATCAAAGTTCCAGGAGGCGGAGTCTCATCTTCATGAATGTATTGCCAAGTATGAAAAATTGCGACATTCCTTGCACGGAAACGAGCAGTTTCAAGTATCTCTTTTAGATACTAGAGGACTTTTTCCATACAAGATGCTTAGTGAATTGCTTTGTCATTCCAGAAATCCTAAAGAAGCACTTTATGTCGAGGAGCTGGCACGGGCTAGGTGCTTGGCAGAATCTATGGCACTCAACTTTTCCGCTGAAAATCACATCTCATCTGATCCCAAATCATGGTTCAGGATTGAAGAGATTTCAAGAGAAGAAGAGAACTGTACTTTCCTGTACATTTCGTATTATTATCGAAAAGTTCGATTGTGGGTTTTGAAAAGTAACGGAGACACTTTATTCCGATCTTCCGAAGTAGTGGATGACAAGACTCTCATAGCGGAGAAAGCTTTCAATTTAAATAGCTTTTTCGACCAAGATCTCCGCGGCTTTGGAATTTTACCTGCCCATAAATGCGAAGATCGATCTTTGAGTGAAACCATGCCGATATCACTTCACGACCAGAGCGAAGCAGATTTGCGAGGAGAGGAAACTCCAGAAACTACAAGAAGACTTAATTTGTGTTCCAAACTCATCATCACTCCAGTGGCCGATCTACTTACAGAGCCAGAGATCGTTATTGTACCCGAGCGTAGCTTGTACCGAGTCCCATTTGCAGCCTTAAGAGACAAATCAGACGGTAGATACATATCGGAGACTCACAGGATTCGCATCGTCCCTTCCTTGACGACTCTTAAGCTCATTCAGGACTGCCCAGCAGATTTTCACAGCGAGACCGGTGCAGTAGTTGTTGGTGACCCCAAGGTAGGAAAGGTGTATTACATGGGAGGTGAAAGGACATTTGTACCATTGCATTGTGCAAGAAAGGAAGCAGAGATTATCGGAGAACTGCTCGGAGTTCAGCCTTTGTTGGGAGAGCGTGCAAAGAAGCAGGAAGTACTTCAAGCGATGAATTCAGTGAGTTTGATTCATATTGCTGCCCACGGTAACGCCGAAAGAGGAGAGATTGCCCTCTCCCCCAGCCTTGCCACTAACACTATTCCAGAGGAGGAGGACTACCTTTTGAGGATCTCTGATGTATCACAAGTTAAGTTGCGAGCCAAACTGGTAGTACTCAGCTGTTGTCACAGTGGACGTGGAGAAATTAAAGCCGAGGGAGTTATTGGAATCGCTCGAGCGTTCCTAGCATCCGGCGCACGTTCAGTGTTGGTGACATTGTGGGCCATAGAGGACGAAGCAACAGAGAAGTTTATGAGGCGTTTCTACAGACACCTTGTTGATGGAGATAGTGTCAGTGAATGTCTTCATCAGGCCATGAAATGGCTGAGAAGCAACGGCTTTCCCAAAGTTTCCCAGTGGGCTCCGTTCATGTTGATTGGAGATAACGTGACATTTGACGTCAAGAAACAAAGGTTAGTTTTATTTCCGAAAGGTCACTAGACACACACTGAGTCACATACAGAATCTGGTTTCGATTCAGTTAAGGTCAATGTAACGAGGAGAGGACGTGTTGGTGTACATTCCAATGTCTTACGCGTGCCTTTTCTGAACACAATGACATAAATAGTTTTGAGAATCCCAAATTTTAGCTAGAAAAATACCAGCGGCATACTGTGTATATGACCATTTTCAAACTCAGAATGATAGTTAAAGTTTTCAACCGCAATTAACAATTTGCAGAACCGGTGGGGCCGCGCGCGAGTCAGCTACAATGATAGCGAAGATTATAATGACAGCAGTTTTTAAATGCAACCTTTAACTTAAGTATTTTTTTGTTTGTTTTTCTTAAGGAAAGAAGAAATTGACTGCGAAGGACAACAATGAAGCATAAAAGAAACAGTCAGCCAAGCCTTTCAAAAGATTGTCATGAATAATTTCATTGCATATAAATATATGTAACGGCAAGGGAAGTTTAAGTTTAATTTTTCTATTCAAGTAAACTTTAGAATGTATATCTTTATGTAGTTTCGAAAACGTAGATTGCGATTGGAAAGGTTTCGAAGAATTTCTCTTTGTATGGAATTTTTTCCCAGTAACAAAGAATGTAGCGAAGCTATTCAGCTTGTAGTTGTTTCAGCGTGCGACCTAAATCACTTGATTACTTGGTAGTTTTGATCGAATATTCTGTGAGTCAGTTATTTCTTATAAAGGTTCTTGGGAGTCTAACTTATTTGAGTAGAAAGGAGATCATATGCCTAATCTAAGTTAGTCGTGAACGAGCGGACCCCTTTGAGTAAGTTAAACGAGAAAAGGTAAATTGTTTAGTTTTAATTTTCAACCGGGGTCAGAAATGTGAGATGCAGATATGATTGATGTTTACACCGAATTATTCCATTAGATCAACTCATTTTGAGGTATTATCGATTATATCCTTGATCGAATGTTGTGTTTTTAAATAAAAGTAGCATAATTTGTAAATTAAATCGTGATTCTTTTAGTCATTTTTTTCGGCCAAACCCTTCAAATTTCACGCCCAAAGCTGCCTTCTCCTTATCACTTATCTGCAAAATATTTTTATGTTATCCTGTTGGCATGTGACTTCCAACAAATCTGGAAACGGAACTCCACTTCGTATGAAATATAAATGTTGGCACACGCGCTATAAGGAAGGTGACTCATATCACTTGGGAATTTTGCACCCCAAAAGCTCTTGTCCATTGCGAATGACTGACGTTAATAAGAAGCACCTTTCCGATCATGCGCGTAACCGTGACACCAGACTCAGCCGTTCATGATATTTGCATTCTTATCCTCGGTTACATGCGTTTCCTTCGATTACTCAATAGTTCCTTCCGGTTTTTTTTTTTTTTCATGAAAAAGTCTCATAAGTAAAAAATCAAGATTACTTCGCAACGAGATTTTGCCACAAATGTGCTATTTTCTTGTAATTTAATTGGCCGTTGTTTTGATTTTGGGGAGACAGAAAAATCCAACGAGTTTACTTCATTTCTTTCCCTCTTCCTCTTGTGACAGGAATGCTCTTTGCAAATGTCTTATGTAATCCCCCTTTTTTTGAGAGAACATTTTGGGTGTGGCTTGCGTTTTTTCCATTTTACTTATTTGTGTTCTGAAAGACTGGTTACCCATGGCTACTTTCTTTTTACTGTCGAGTTACTTTTTCCAAGAAACCAAGAGTTACTTGTTCTAAAAAACAGAGAAGGCTTTTTTCACAAACTTTTGTAAAAGAAAGAGTACAAAATTGCCTATCTTGTGATAGGAAGAAAGAATGATTGCACATTTTGATCAAATCGAAGTTTCCTGGTCAAGTACTTTGTTCATAACAGAGGATGTAAAGACTTCCCATTTAATCCCCAGATTTCCAAGTACACTACAAGAAAACGAGTTGAAGTTGGAAATTATCCGAGAGCCTTAGCGAACTTCGCCAAAAACATACGTCCAAGAAAACCTTATCTTCGTCGTGCACTTAGCGTTCAACAATCTGCCTAAAAAAAAATAATTGACGTTACAATAATATTCCAGAAGACAGAATATATTTATAATAGTCACGCGCAGCCGAATTCTTCCACAGCACGTGCACCAACGTGGTGCCCTTCAAAAGTAAAGTTATCCGCAAATCACTCAGTAGACACGACAATGGACAAGAAAAAGATAAAAGACGTTCGATAGTGCTTTAGAGCCCTCTATTTAGATAGCACATAACGGTTCCTTTCCGTGTTTTGACCTCCACTAGAAAAAAACAACAACAACAACAAAAGCAAAAACACAAAGTTAGTAGTGTCTCTCACAACAGCTAATGATGAAGAGAAGTACAGGGACTCTCATTTCGTAATGACATTCCTCCTTCTTAACATTCAAGATGTAACAAAAATTACTTCAAAAACAAACCTTCAAGCACGTTAAAGTACTCAAAATTTATATTTTCTAATGATAAGCAGAGAGCATCCCGGCGATAATTCATTTATTCAACTACCAAACAGCTAATGAAAATTGTACATGCAGTACCAAAGAACACAACCATTTTATATAAATATAAACATATAACAAAAAGTATGGATTTGACAACAACTCCCTCTCTGTTCATCTTAATAATCTTAATTACCTTTTGGTCTCTAAACATTTTTAAAAATTGTAATAAATAATAAATTATTAATATAACTAATAATGAAATTTACATCAAACTATTACAAATCTATTAAAATACACAATAACCAAATCTAAGACAAGTTTCTGTAAACCAGATCTGCCAGCACAGAGCAGTCTATTGAAAAGTTCACAGATCAATCAGAATTCCAAGTCATTCTATTTGGACGTTGGTTTGGCTACTGTTAACTCTTCCTCTTAATTAAGCAAACACTTCCTCTTAATTAAGCAAACACTTCCTCTTAATTAAGCAAACTCTTCCTCTTAATTAAGCAAACACTTCCTCTTAATTAAGCAAACACTTCCTGTGACTAACCACTTTGTAAATACAAACTTTTTCCTTGTCATGAAATGTTTTGGAAAAGAACCGCGACCAGTTTAGTCACCAGAAATTTGACATTTTTTCTGTTAATTTATAGTTCTCGGACATTAAAAACACAAAGCATTCCAGAGGTTTTCTGCCCTCCAGTACCAAAAACACTGATAGTTTTGTCTGATTTACAAATCCAAACTGCGTAATAGTTATGGAAGATTCTTGATTTCATGAAAAATGAGTGATATTGTGGATAAAGGGATTTCAAGGAAATGTTTCAAACATGAAAAATAAATAAGTATTTAACTACAGTAAGTTGCCTGATTCAGCCAATAATTGCTTCTGAAACTACTCTTACTAGTATGTTTACTTTATAACAACTGATTAGGCTGTAAAAAAAAGTCATCAGTCGCCCAAAAAGTTTCTACTAGTTGTTTTGATTTTTCTCTACATATAAATAAATTTTTTTTTTGGCATAAGAAGGGTTCTTTGAGAGAGAACCAACTGCTTATCACTACTCTGATAATACTGTAGGAGAGCTCTCAAAATAAAGAAAAATCTCTAAAAAATCAGTTTGTACATTAAATATCCTGGCCAGTCAGTTGTGACTACTAGAAGATTTCTTTAAATAACAAATCCGCCCTGTTTCATAAAACAATTTATGAGCTTAATACTTCACTGAAAATTGCTTGCTCAATAATTAGTAAGAGTAGCTAGTTAATCCCTGACAGAAATAAAAGGAATGCTTTACACAGTAAGCTAGCACATACAGAGGATAATTTTCATCACATTCACACAAGTTTTCAATCAAAACATGTAAATGGCTGCATAGAAAAGAGCTCTGAGTAGCTTGTGATAGACAGCTAGATTCTCCTTCCAAAATAGCATGTATTCCATTGTGAAACAAAGGGAGAAGTAGCAGTTACATCACAACTCACTCAAAGCTTGATTCAATGCATTCCCCTTCAGTTTTGTTAGCAAAAGTTAAGACTTGCATTTATCCAAACCTCAGATACACTTTAAAATCAATATGCGCAACATTGGTCTGCTCAACCTTGATGCAACATTTTAAAACGTTCCAAGTACACATATAAAAGACAGGCGTAAAGAAATTAGAGACCTGTCATTTGATACTCATTTGCACCTCTATGCTAGACCCAAACAAACATATCAGTCTGATTCAAAACAGATGTTTGCACTGTTCATATTCTGTATTTACAAGTATAAGAAGAGGAAGGAACTTTTGGGTCATCTCATGACCCAAGTATAAATTGTCCTCTTAACAAATAATTATGCTCTTACGTTCATATGTGTAAACAACCTGAGTGCTGTTCTATTTTAAGTGATTATGAAGAACATCACCACTCCAGCCTCTATCAACTATCAGCCAACTGTTGGCTGACAGATAACCCACAGGTTACAAATTGGCCATCAACAAAAGTTTTAAATGGATTTTAAAGCAATATACCTGCCAATTAACCTCCAAAATAATACTTTGACTTGGTTTTTATGCATGCTTTTAGATGTTGATCTTACTCTGCATACACTGAACACTATTAAAATGACTTAATACCACATAAGATTCAACAAAAACATTTTGGCTACAATCTCTTGAACAATGAAGTATGTCCAATGAGCCTATTGGCCAACTGTCAGGTGGACTGTTGGCCAATTGTTGATTGTGAGTTGACTGACAAGTTTTTTCAGGGAGTTGTTCTTCACAATTACCCTATTTTCTTTGTTTAATTGATAAAACACACACTTGGGACCCTGGGAGTAGGTTTCTGTACCATCATAATATATCAGTGGCTTGCTATCAGAACCACGCCAAAACAGAGAGCATAAGGAGTACAATCTGTGGGAAGTGCTTGGGAGAGCCGCCAGAAATTGGTAGCTGGGAATGTTCAAAGTCTTCTGAAAGAAACAGTTTAACAAGAAGACAGTCATACTGATATAATCTTGTAAATAAAATAAGAGAGATGGTAAGTTTTGGACTTGGTAAAGAAATAGAGAAAGTTTTTTTTTTGTCTTGTCATGAGCATGAAACAAGGAAAAGATTACGAGTTAATTCCCGTAAGTAATCGAACCTCAGACCTTTGGGTTCCATGCTCTGATGCTCTACCACTGAGTCACAGAGGCTATGATGAGCATGGCCCATTGCAGAGTTCTACACCTTTACATCAGTATACATATTCTACATACTGTTATCCATACATTTCCCAAGGTGCTGATAAGGAGAACTTGATTAACAATCAAGAGCTACTTTAGTAAGTGATCATTACCTCTATTCTTGTGACTTTAATGTGTGATTTTGGGCTGATATTGTTTGGAGAAATCAGATGTTAATCTCTCTTAAAGCTCAAAAGGTATATGGCTTTCATTACATGTAGGTTCCCTTGCCATAAATCTTTGTTTGTTTGTTTGTTTGCTTTCTCTATCAGTTGTTGTCAATTGTAGTAATGTCACATATTATGGCAAATTAACCCTTTACACCCTAACATCAGGATGCATATTCTCCATGCATACATTTCCTAAGTTTAAAAATCAAGAGCCTCTTCCTTCATTCTTGAGATCTTAATGTGTGATTCAGGGGTGATTCTGTTAGGTGTAATTTGATGCTAGTCACTCTCGAGGGTCAAAGATTAAAAATATTATATATATATAAATATATGTAACATTTTAACTCTGACCCCTGGGAGTGACCAGCATCAAATTACTCCTTACAGAATCACCCCTGATATACACCATATAGGGTCAAAAGTATAGACTTACCAAGATCTATAATCACTTCATTTGAAGGGGGTCCTAAGCCTGCCTTGTTCTGGGCCCTGACTCTAGCATTGTACTTTCCATTTGGAAGTCTCAGGCCGCTATATTCAGTACTTGTAGTTTCGGCTTTGTTCGGTGACTTCCACGAGAGACCTTTAGCCACATATTGAATAACATAACGCTTGATTTCTGTGCCACCATCTGTTGATGGGGGATCCCATTTCAGTTGGATATAAATTGCCGCTTCATCAAATACTGTTTGTGTTTTAAGATTTCTTGGTGGTGATGGTGGAGCTGTAACAAAAAGTATCCTTACAATTTAGTTGAGAATTAGAGAGATTTCCACTCTGATATCAACTGACAACAGCAAACTAAATTTAAGACTCCCAGCTAACATCCATTGAACAACCTAGAAGCAACTCAAAAGCTAGACATTTGGCAAAATGGAATCTATTTGTTAACCCTTTACAGTCCCTATCATCATTATGTATTTTCTCTCTACTGTTCTCTATACATTTCCTAAGGTGCTGGCTAAGAGAATTTGTTTAACAATCAAGAGTTTCTTTAGGTGGTGATCATTTCCTTCATTCTCGTGACCTCAATATGTGATTCTGGGATGATATTGTAAGGAGAAATTAGATGCTGGTCACTTTCAGGGGTTACAGGATTTATGTTTATCGTATGATAAAAGGCAAAATGATGTTAATGGTGACCCCATTAGATCAGAATTGAGACCCAATAAAAATGCATTATTTAAACCTTTACACTGTAACATCAGTATGCATATTCTCCATACTTCTCCCTAGACATTTCCTAGGTTCTGACAAGGAGAATTTGTTCAGCAATCAAGAGATTTTTTAGTCGGTGTTCTTCTCCTTTATTCTCAAGACTTTAATGTTTGAGTTAAGGGCGATTTGAGAGGAAAAATTAGATGTTAGTCACTATTAGGTGTTAAATGGTTAATAATTCAGGTTATCATTAAGGAGGGGAATTCTCCTTATCATATATGGTATCAAGCAGAAAGATCTTGCAAAGAAAGGGAAAAAATCAATACCAAGGTATTGTTTAATTTAACACAAAACTTTCACAGCGAAAATTCAAAGAAATGTAGGGCAGACAGATGGGAGAATTGATACAAAGATCTTGTGTGTAACAGGGTTAATAACACTTACTGAGCTTTTTGACATTGACTGCATGGTATTTTACAGTGTGTTTGTTCTTGGCTTGGCATTGCAGTGTCTCAAACTCAACATCCTCTTTGGTAACCATTTGTAGGTAGCTCTTGCTAGCTGTGTCATCATGCCATCCCTTGGGTACTGTTGTGTTTGATGGGATATGCATCCATGAGAACATTGCTGTATCGCCCTCCGGAATCTTCACCGCACAAACTACTGATATCTTGTTGTTCAACCAAGACTCTTTACTGACATCAGAGGCAGACTTATCTATCAAGAGATCTAGAATATGGCAAAAATAGCGTATGAATGATTGTCACAATCAGAGACTAAAAGGAGAAGAGCACGCAACTAGCTTCCCTATTTTGTACATATGCGTTGTTAGATATGTATTTCAATTGTTAAGGAAAATAAGTTTGTCGTTGCTGATTGTACACAACAGTAGGTTAGTGATCTCCCATAATTTGAACACAACAGGAAATATGAACTTTCAAGCCAGTAGAGCGATCCTTTTTCCTGTCAAATTTTAAATAATTTCAAGCAATTTAGGTAATAAAAAGAGGTACAGCCAGTAAATGTTACCATTTACTGTCTGAAAAGAAGAACACTGCTAAGTTCCTAGTTTTTACCTCCACTATCAAAAAGTAATTATGATGTCATGACACAGAGTTTGTTTAGAGATTGCAAAGAGAAACAATCTTTCAAAGATAGAGTCATTTTATCAACTAAGCTGGTGTAAACTGGCCACCATAGAGAGCTTCTCAAGCAGCCTGTCACCCTTTACCTCCCATAAGTGACCAAGACAGAATTTCTCCCAACAAAATTGATACAATATCCAGCAGACAAGTGACGAGAATAGAGAAAAATATCAATTGGGGGATTACAAGTTGATCTAATACCTAATTCTCCAAGCTAAAAGCACAAGAATTGCATGGCAGACAGTAAAGAGAATTACCAATGAGATATTGAGAGTGAAAGAAGGCCTTGAATCTTGAAACAGTGAACATCAGTAGGTTTATCTTTGGTCTCTAAACCCTTCCCAGCCTAATATCAGTATTGATATTCTCTTTGCTGTACTCCATACATTTCAGTTACCAGGAGAATTTGTTTAACATTCAAGAGCACCTTTAAACAATCATTCTTTCTATTGTCATGACCTTAATGTTTGATTCAATGGTGAGACTACATTGAGAAATTCAATGCCAGTCACTTTAAATTAGCAGTTAAAAAAAGTAAGACATGATAGGTTGTATTAAAATCTTTATAATAGTCTTTTGAGTGGCAGAGACAAAAATCTCTGGAGGACCTGTTCTGCAGCATACTCTGAGGTTCTCCATTATGGTTTTTAGCTGTTAAAAAGTTAAAAAAGAGAGTGCTCACTTATAGGTAAAAAAAAATTAAAAAAAAAAGAAAACATTTCTGAACAAGCTGAAAATCAACATATCATTTTATATTTTATCACAGGTAAAAAAATTCAAACTTGATAGAGAAACAAGATTTCACATATTTTGCAAAGTTAATAATTATCATATCGATAGTTTTACAACTAAATTGAAAAAATCATTCACTATGAAGCTTAAGGAGTATTGCATTTTAAGTCATTGAATAGACATATGCTGTAAATGTCAGTGCCTTATTACAAAAGAAGAGATACCAGAGGCATATGTTTTCATCGATTAATGCTTTACATGTCAACATCAGTATGCATATTCTCCATACAGTTCTCTATATATTTCCTAAGGTGCTGACAAGGAGAATTTGTTTAACAATCAAGAGCCTCTTCAGTTGGTGATCATTTCTGATATTCTCTTGATCTTAATGGGTGATTCAGGAGAAATATTGTAAAGAGAATTGGATGTTAGTCACTTGCAGGGGTTTAAAGGTTAAAATGTATTTCATAATTCTCAGAAAAGGTGTCAGGGTCTAGATGAATCAATATTTTATACCTGCAGCCATATTCACTCATCTGAAAATGAAAATCTAATGGTTTTTAATCATTAATGAAGACTTGACAATTGACAGCTGACTAAAAGCAAAATTTCATAATTTCCACACCAAATGCAATTTTTAGCACTTTAAAAATTCTTCCACATCACTCACTGTACCCATTTCACATTACATACCATAAGAAAATTTATCTTCTTTAACATATCATCATTTAGTTAAATTTATTATCAAACATTTTTCATTAAATGTCTTCTTGAGGATCATAACAACTATTTTAAGCAAACACTTCCTAAAATGGAAAAAAAATCCTTTATACACTAAATTAAATCATAACCACTGGAATGAAATATATTTCTTTCCAGCAGTGTAATCTTAATAAAAGTTTTGCATGAGGATTTTTCTAAAGTTTTTTCAAAATAATCAAGATTTTATAATAGCCCAACAAGGTGCAGAAATTTATATTTTTGCACTTAAAAGCAAGAAAAAAATTCCACCTGATATATAGACAATCATGTAACATTCTACTGTATACATTGCCCTGATTCCACATCCACACATATTTATTGCCTGATCAACTCGGCAAAAGAGAAGTTACACGTAATTTTTCATAGATGCTAGAATTTTCATTATTATTATATGGTATTTTGGCTATTACCATTCTCAAAAATTCCTTTCCACTCAAAACAACAATCTTTATTCAAGACTTTTTCTTCCAATGATTATTACCTACCATAAATTGTTTCCCCTAAAATGGGTTCAAAGAGATAGAACAAGAGAGCAGCACTTTGACCATAATTGAGAACAAAATTACATATAACTTGTATAAATATTCATCACAAAAAATTATGATTATACTGACAATCCTTAAGTTTCACACTGAACTTATAAATTTTCAATTTTGGGTTTTTTTGTAAACAAGATGGTCGTAATTTTTTCCTTTCCTCAACAGAAATCGAAGCTAAGCTATCATCCCTATTTCTAAAAAGTAGATATTACAAAAAAATGTGTATTGAAGGTGCAAAATTATAATTTCATGACTAAGTCAATTTGTGGGTTTTGAACACCTGCCTTCAGAAAATAAAAGAAACACATTACAAATACGAGGAATATGCAGATAAAGTGAGATAGCTGACTACCACGATAAACAGAACTCATATCGCCAAGAAAATTTGGCCAGAGGGCAGATTCTCCTCTAAGTGTCAAATCGGATGAAACATCAAATTGAATTCTTTCCATGCCACGATTCACCAAAGAAAAAGAGAAAAAACAATCAAAACAACATTTTAGAGAGAAACGTTTTCACAGTTGGGTCTCAGTATGGAAGACACCGCAAACAACAGGAAAGTGATCCTTATCTGGATGTATCACAAATAAAACACGATGTTGACAGTTCGCGGTCAAAATTTGTTCGAAGAAAAACTTTGACGCGCGGGGAAATGCAAACTCAGAACTAGAGGCGTTTCACGAAGGTCAGAAATGAACAACTACTTCCCATTCTCGTGTTGATTTTGTATTAGAACGCACTAGAATGTCAGAACAAACTGAAAGCCACGCAAACATGAAAAAATTTCCCTAATAAAATTCCTTGATGAACAAACGTTCAGAGCCTGTCCAAACTGATGCATTTTCAAAATATTTATCCACGTATCAACAGGATAGTCGATTACGTGCTAGATTCCAAACAAATAAAAATTTCCTTGTTCTATGCAATTAACAACTTGCTAATTCGAACGCGATATCACGTCTTACTATTTTTATCACGCCATGGATTTCCCTTCCTTTCCGAGAGCACGCCAATTAGTACAAAGGGATAAACAAAACATTATGGTGCTAAATGATAAACATCCCACTATTTTCAGACTTTATTTTGACCAACTAGCTTTCGAACGTTGTTGATCTTAAATGTTCTTTCTTTTTAGCCTTTTCCAGAAGGCACTAACTAATAAGCAAGCTTGATCTCCATTAGAATAATAAATGACATCATTCATATATCGAGAGTCGCGCCGCTACATTATAACTATTATCGCCCTGCACAATATTTGGTTTCTTTTGACAAAGAAACGAGTTAAATCCAAAAATATTGACCATATTCAAAAAAGAGATTCGCACCATCATTAATGCAAAATTAATTTACACATCTTTGCAACTGTTTTGAAGATCTTCCAAGACAACCTCTGGAACACTGATCAAAACAAAATTCAAATTACGCGCGCGTAAATTTAAGAATCAGTGTATTGAAAAAATTATTTGCATACTACTCACCGACAACAGACAGTTTGACTTCGTCACTTTCGGTTATTCCATGATTTCCATATCTTATTTGACAAAAGAAAGTCCTAGAGTCTTCCATTTCAAGATTCCTAATCTTAAAACTCGCTCGCTTGCCAGGGACGATCTCAACTCTGTCTCGAACCCATTCAACATCCTTGTGTAGGTTGTTCTGTTTAGTTCCGTTGTCGGTCATAACCAGAATGGCTACATTATTATTTTTGATAACAACTCCGAATTGGATATCTTGAACGTCTTCCTTAACATATTCCCAATCAAACTGTACATCCTTTCCGACAAATACCTCCTTATCTTTCGGTTTCGTAGAAAAGGTACCTGTGTCTTGACTCGTCGCATACGCTAGTTAATAACCAAAAGTAAAAACAAAGCAAATTCAGTCACAATCCTTCGAAGTTCTGACCGATAATTCATCGATTGACTTACCAAATAACGTAACAAACAGGCCAATCGCCTTGATTTGAGAGCAGACAAAGAAATTCATTGCACGACTTCCCCGTGCACAGCACGCTTTGAACAACACACGTTAACGGCCAACGGTCAAGCAAATTTCGCTGTGCTTTTTACTCTCAAAATGAATACCAAAGAGCACGCTAATTTCGAAGCACAAAGATGAGTTTGTTATAGACAGATGCACGAAAAGGCAGATTCCAAAACATGGTCATCAGATAATGTCGATCACACTTCCTTCATGAGAGATTTCTGTTTGTCTTCTTCAAACATATGACTCGTGGCTTGCTATTTATATAACGCAGATCACGTGGTTTTTCAACCGCAATTGCGACGCGTTTTTCTGCGTACTGAGGTAGGAGACATTCGATATTCCTTTTCGAACGCACCGCAATCCTGGTGAGTTTGTCCTTTGGAAAATGCCGATCGAAGCAAAAGACGAAGAAAGAAGATTAATTTAAGAACATAATATCATTCTCTTTCTAGAGAACGCTAGGCTTCATTTTAAGTAATATCAACAAAGGGAACAAAATACTTCAGTTTATCAAGGAAAAAGTCACATTCTTAAAACAGCGTTAAGTCTTAAACCTCTTTAAGAGGTGCGAATAGGGTTTACCACAATATGAACTTCTGAATTTTTAAGAGAGAAAATGAAGGTTTTGAATTAATTTTCGGCAGGCAAACAGGATTTGTGTGTTAATATTCATATCCTTCCAAAAAAAATGTCTATAATGTTATAGCTTGGGCGTAACACAAGCAAATACCGCTTAATGAATAGTAACTAAGTTTTATTATGACAGTGTTTTTGTTCCTTTGAAACCATATAGTTTATGTTTAGAAGAGGTTTTAGCTCAAGAAAAAAGAAAGATTTTTATTCACAAGAGATTATATTTGTGGGGTGGCCTTTGAAGAACATGTTTGCATGCACTAAGTTTTCACTAAGAACATTTTACAATTATTGTAAGCTCTGTGAGTGATCAAGGTCTCGATATCCATTAATTTCAACGTTGTGTTATCCGATTTATCATATCACGCAAGTAATACTTCAAACACAAGTTGGGATGAAATTCAGGAAACGTGATGCATGCAGTCTAAAAATTCCAAACTCCAAATAATTTGTGAAGTCAAAGAAACTATGTTGGATTGTGAGGAATTCGTGGCCTTTTTCCTAAAAGGTAATCGTGTGCAGTGTTTATTGGCTAGAATATCTCCGATTATAAAACAAATAGTCATTATTTTAGTTTATTAAGATTAAATTTTACATTCTACTGGCTTGGATTAAATAAAAAGAGTTAGTCGCCGATATGTCTATCTTTTCTTGCAGTGATATGTCATGTAAAAGCCATTTGCGCAAACAATTCTGAAAGAAAATTGAACTTAATATTCTAGGCAAAATAAACATGCAGAAAAGCCATAACAATCTGTGTGTCTCATTGTATAAAAAGCTAAGTAAGAATAACCATATTTATGGAATTGTAACTGAATTGTTTGACCAATTCACTCCGGCGGCTTGTATAAAATATGCTTAAAAAGCTTACGTCGCAAAGATTCAGAGACACAAGAACAGTATGACAGCTTTCCAACTAGCAAAAAACGGCTGAAAACGAACACGATGACTTGCTTTATCAAGGAAAAAGTATATTTGTCTCCAACTGATTTCTTTGTCAGATGTCAGAGGAGGGCTTCCCTATCCTAAGATCTTTTTGATTGATTTGCTGGTAAAGTTTCACACTGAGAAAAACCGTTTGTAGTCTGCTTACCAATAAGTACTTCCCATGTATACGGCTTGACTCAGTCAGTGATGCGGGCATAAGCTTGTCACAATTTTTTGACGTACGTTTTGCAATAGAACAATTGGAGCCTTCCTTATCTGACAATAACCTCTCCAACAAAACTACGGTTTCCGAAACGAAACCAATCATGATTGCTCGCTTACTGCACAGTTGTTTTATGATCTGAAAAAACGCAAGCAATTTCGTTTGAAAACACAAAACTGCTGATATAAGACATATGCCACCCGTAGTTACTTACGATATCAAATAACGTGTGCATCTTTGGCAGAAAAGCAGGAACGGGCAGAAATTATTGTGTGAGATCAAATGAAAGATGAGGAAATTGGTTGACGAAAATGCAGCGTTTTTTTCAGATTTACAGAGTGAAAGTATTGATCCATGCAGCCATTTACATCAGCAAAATTTTTACACCTTAGATTTTTAGATATCTCATCTCATCATGATAACCCATGCTATAATGAACAATTTCAAACGCCTGGGTTGCGATTAAGTATTAACGATTCTTATGTCAAACATATCTGAATCACCTCAAGAACTAGCTTGCCTACAGACTTATTGCATTGAAGAAAGGATCAAGAATCTATTGAGCTTGTTCTCGAGTTTGACTCCTCTTGCTTCTTTTCTCATCAGTGACTGACTGAAATCAAGACTTATCGTGTACCCTATGATTTCTGTTCTGATCCGTCTATGAAATGGAGCTAAACGCAAAGTTTTGCGGCTATTCTGTAAGAGGAAGGAGCTAAACAAAGATTCAAAGGTTATGGGAATGAAAAATAGTTTGGAGATTTTTGCTGACGGGTTTTGGACAGAGTTCATTTCATCGGCTATTCAATTTCGTGGTCAATTTATTAAATTCTTCCTTATAAAGTCAATTATGGAAAAATCTTATCAGTTTTAAGAAAGAGAGTACCTCTGAATAACGTTTCTTTGCGGAATAAAATCAACTGAAAGGGAAAAAATCTAAGGACGTGTATGAAAAGATAAAAACTGAAAAGAAAAAACTTTATGAATGATATATATGTTTCATTTTCGAACAGGTGAGAGAGCATTTGCATCGTAGCAGCGCGCGGGGATTCTAAATCAAAGTGCGGGTTATTGCGAAATTGTTTTAAAATAAATAATTTGACCAATTTTGTCGGTAAACACATATTGCGGAACTACAGCTTTTTAGGAGTTTGTCTTAAATTGTTGTTAATATAAATAAAATTGCCAATTTAGTCTAAATTCAAATCAATTTTATTAACTTTGAAATTTCAACCCTTTCCAAAGGCCGAAGAAAACCCACGGTGATTTTTTAGTGGTTGTTGCGATAATCTCTTGCTAATCCATTTTATCTCGTTATTAGCGCATATGCTCATTCAGATTTCCCACGATAGTACACGCGCACAGGTGTATGGAGCCAGAGGAACAAATTCTCGACTGGTAGAAAACCGCTAGTACGTTGAAAAAGATCTGCTCAGCGATAAAATTAATCTATTGCGGTTGTGGAGGGATATTTCAGGATCAACCATGCTTTAGCTTCCGGAGATAGCAGATATTATCCCGCAGTTAAAAATGGAAATTTGGCCAGCTGTAAAAGATTTTCGAATCCTTATGTTCTAGTTTGCCTCAAGCTTCGTTCACTCATCTTCCTTTCATTTTTCGGTTATTCATTCAATTTTTTCCCCTGTTGCACTGGATTCACATCCTTGAAAGATGCTGTGACCTTACGCGCGCCGTGTCAAAATCGAACAATTAACCCACCCCTCCCCCCTGTCTATCCTTAGGGGTACAAATGGGAACAAACTATGGTTAGAGAAATCTAACCTAATACACGGGGTAACCTTCATGCAATGGAATAGCATCGTCTGCAGCGCAGCGTCTGTCTCGAGGGATGCTCGGCCCATAACCTGATCTTACTATACACACACCCTAGGGAGTGGGGTGCGTATTACAGCCAAAGTACTGTATGGGTGGGATGTTCTGACCCGAGCTGCCTGACCCTACTCTTTTGAAAACCATTTTTTATTCCTGTTATACTCCTGTTATAAGCATAGAATGAAAACGCCACATGCATCCTTTCCCTACTCTAAAGGAAGGCAAAATGACGGTTAAACCACTGTAGGTCATTTCTAACTTCTTTCAAACTTACATTAACGGGCTGTTAGGCCTTTAAAGAAAAGCTAATGATAAATTTGGGCACCCCCCGCCCCTTTCTGCACCACACCCAAACGCTGTAAATTTCTACGCTCTTGTTACACACCCCTGGATTGAGAAATGTTCCCCTTATCCAATTTGGAGAGAGAATCATCCCTACCTAATCAAGAGAAGACCTGATAATTATATTCTCTTGATATTATTCATCTAGGAAATCCTTCCCACTTCCACCGGCTACTCATACCCACTAGTGCCAAGATATTTGCACTCTATGGCCAACTCAGTATATTCCAAATACATCTTACACCATAAATGATAAAGTTGTGATTTTTGTAAATCCAGAATTTGTACATTATAAAACAATGGATAGCAATGAAGGAGCGCTCTCCCTGGCTACTCCCAAATTCCCAATATCCTTTGCTATTCGCCTCCAAGAGACTCTCGCGAGATGCGCACCCGTAAATCTTGTAATCGTTGCAGGAATAAACGATTAGTTTGAAATCATGTTTTTGGTGTTGTATTGTCTCACTATTTTAAGGCATGTTAAAAAAAACTATTCACCTCAATGAAGGTGGCTAGCGGCAGTGAATATTTACGTCGTCGCCTCGCGCCTCAGTAAATATGCATCATTAACCACCCTCACTTCGGTTGGCGGATGGGATAACGGGTCACGTGATTTTCTAATGAGTCCATGCAAGAAATATTGGAGTACAAGAGAATATGAACAGTGTATTATCTCTTGTGGGGACATCAATCATAATTACAGCCAGTAAACCATTTTTAAAATTTCTACACTTATCCAGTATCTAAAAGAGACATCTTTAAAGGTGGAATCGTTTGAGGATGCCGTGGACCTGTGATTTTGTCCAAATCCAATGGAAAATTTGTATAATTTGTTGTGAAAAGATGGAGCGACTTATGCAACAACCAAAGATGCCGAAACATGCTTTCCTCGTGGAGTGGTATGACAAAGGGAACTTCACCATTCATGGTTTATGGCATCTGCTATCAGATCTATTTACACTTAACCCTTTACACCCAACACTAATATCCAAATTCCCCACACTCTTCTACTACGCATTTCCTTTGGTGCTGACAAGGAGAATCTTTTTAGGTTGGTGACCATTTCCCTTATTCTCATGATCTTCATAAATAATTCAGCAGTATTATTGTGAGGAGAAATTACATGCTGGTCACTCTCAGGGTTAAACAGGTCAATGTCCCGTGACTGAAGCGATGTCACGACACGAGAATCATGTGAGGCGTATCCCGGTGTTTTGAGCACATCCCCATCACCGCCATCATTACATTTCTCTGGCAAAGTTGCTATGGCTGTCTTTTGCAAACCTTTCCTTTCTGTTCGACTGAAGTGATGTATATTAAACAGACAGAACACCAAGGAGTACAAGCCGAACAAGTTTTCTGATCTTACGGGTGTTGTCCCAGAAAGGACTGTTGTCAACGTCATGGACAATAAATGTTTCGATAACTTGTTCGGAAGTCATTAACATCGGAGTAGAGCGCAAAGTTGTCTATGAGTGAAATGTTTACACAAAACCATACACTAGACCTTCAATAGCATAACAACCGCGTGGTTTTGATTCGGGTGTTATGGGTATTAATTTTTCTCGATCGAAAGCCACAATCAACCCACTACGCTTGGATTTACGGCAACTTTGACCAGTCTACCTGTACGCCATTCGTGCAAGAAGATGAAGGAAAACAAACAGAAGGCAAGAAGAGGAATGAGTTGTCGAGAACTAACAAGGGACGACACCAGCTCATTACAAGCGTCAAGCTGCCAGAAAAGCTCATAATTAGAAGTTAAACTCTGTAGTTAAAAGCTTTGTGGCTGAACTATCAACAGGGTTTCAACTGAAACTTTTTCCATTGCGGCTTCTGATGGTGTAACAGGAAGTTGTGCTCGGAAAGGAAGTTGTGAGACGAAACCTAACCACGGGAGCACCGTCTCAGGCTAAACTGCAGACGGTGGTAAGAAGTCTTAGCTGGCGGTCGACTGCCGGTAACGGCTTTTAATGAAACTCCTGCTATCGACACAGAAATCTTCAGTGAATGCGAGCAAGAAAAATGGTGTCGACAAGATAAAAGCTTCGAGGATAAACTGAGAACATTGCGGGGTACGTGGATGAACGATGAAGTTCAACCTTTTATTTGTTCGGACACATTTTAATTAACTGAGCAATTTTTTCCAATAGTTCTTGCTGCAGAAAATAAAATCTGAGCGTTCATCTCCATCAGACGGACACGTAGAAATCAACGTATGTTCAGTGTTGAAATTCCTTAAAACGGTAAGTTCTTTAAAAATGATCAGCTTGACGGATTATGACTTTGTAGCGAGCTTGAGAGATTGAAAGGGGAAGGGTTGGGTGGGGCTGGGGGTCGGGGTGGGGCTGGGGGTAGGGGTGAACGAACGTCCTGTTGGTAATGGATGAGAAAACATTCCCAAGTTCACGTGGTTGTCGGTGTGACATTTACACCGGTGCTTTATGAGTAGTTTTCAAACATGTCCACAATACCACTAACAGTAAACTCTGTACTCGGATAAAAGAGGTGCGTATGAGAAACGACCAAACCAATTGGTACAAGGCACCATTTTTTCTACGTGAGATTTTAGTTCATGATATGATTCAAATTTTGATATTGGTACCGATGTTTCCGGATAAGGGACTGCATTTGATTAGCGTTGGAGACAATATTTGGTAGCTTTCTAACTACGCGAACAACATGCGGCTCAAAAGAGCAGGTTGCTCTCGGATTGGTTATACGTAAAGCATAGATCTGTTGTAACAGAAAAAAAAAGACACTTGGCAAAGATGAAGTCATCCTCAGTGAAAAATCAAGTAAAATGTGAAATATGTAATGACTGCATGGTTTTCGGGCAACCAATTTCAAGAAGTCGTAAACGTGAATTTGGCTTTGATTCATACAACGAGTTCTACTGAAGAAGAGGCACCGAAAAGTTACTCGATCGAGCCTGTAAGACAGCTAACATGGAAGGCAGAATAAAGATGTAGTAGAGAAAGTAAAACAGGGGTTGAAAAGCAGGTAATGAAAGCTGCTATGGTATCCTGTGGGGGGTGGGACCCAGGAAAATTCATTTTAACCGTACATCGTATAAAGGGGGGTGAGCCGCTGAGGCCACGCTCTTTTAATTCCCAACTCAACACCCCCCGGATTCAGCATTCCTGATGCAAATGACTGAGATCTTAGGACTTTGAGAGCTAGGAGCCAAAGTCACCGCAAAAAAGGAGTAAAGGCCAGTAAAAAACGACCCAGTTTAGTTTTAAGGCTACTTAAAATTGGGTTCTGAATTGACAATAACAAGGCCAGAACACAATACCAAAAATTATGTTCCCCACTCTATGTGAGAAGTGCATGGGTTCTTTGAACGTCGGCTGCTAACTAGTACAGAGAAGATGTAGGAGACTGGGCCTTTGGTTTATCGTCCTTGTCCGAGAAGACTAAATCGTCTAACCATTTGCGGATGTCGTAGCAAAGACGGCACATCTCCTCAGTTATTTAAGGACCCTGAGTTTTGGACCGGTCTGGGCTTGTATCTCCGACATCACGCACGGCAGTCCGGCGCTCTACAACATGGGATAACCAAGCGCGATTTAATTGACATTTCCCAAAGCCTCGGCCAGGAGCCTCCAACTCTGTACCATTATTTTTCTCATGGCGATACTTAATTCATGCAAAAAAGAAAAATGCAAAATAAAATTTACTGTATAAAATCGTTATTAATTGCAGATACTACCTTAGGGCAGGCGCTAGGTGAAGTAATAGCAGAAGGCATACCGATGAACAAAAGCTTAATGGTGTAGAGATAAATTCTATGCCAAAAATTGTGAAAATCCGATTAGCCAACTGGTCAGTGATCTGTCATGATCGTTGCACAAATTCATGTCGGAACAGATGAAAAGTGTTAAGTAAAACGTTAATAAGATAAGTGGTCTAGCGAAGTGGCTTAAGCTTTATTAATAAGTACGTTATCATAGAAAAGATTATCATTGCACTGTAAATGAAAAGTTCATGACAGATTTGCCCACACTCTAAACCTAAAACAATTAAGTGATTTTCTGGCTTCGATGCTGCACATGCAAACTTGCGTGAGATTAAAAGATCATCTCGTCTTTTGGGCAAAATAGGGCAATATGTGTACACTTGAAAAGTTTTTAGTTCACTTGGAACTGAAGTGAACTTGGGAAGTTTATTGCATACCAGCGGCGACTCTGGGTCTGTTTAAAAATGATCAGAATCTAACAAAGGTTTTAAGTTGATCGGCTTAGATACGAAAACCTCCGCTGAGAAGGTAGCGTATTATGAAATTTTTGATACTTTAAGTTGCGATCAAATGTACTGGTTTGACCGGATGGGGCGCTTTTCAAGGTAAAATTTTATAAGCGGTTTCCGGCTTGCATTTCGTTGGTATGTTTACATATATTTGAGTCGTTTTTAGCATCATTATAAAAAGGGAAAAGGGACCGGAAAGAGGCTGAGAAACACGAAGAAAAGATGCCTGCATTTTCGTGCAAATCAAATCTGGAGATGAAACAATTACATGTAATCGGCGAATCTTTTAAGATAAAAGATTAAGCCAGACACTGCAACTGTCATTGTGCGAAATAGATTGATCAATTTTTTTTGTACATCATGAAAGTGTATATATTATACTTATTTTCTTTTCAAAGATAAAAGATGGAATGGAACCGTCCAAATTTCTTTTTCTATCTTTTTCCCAATTTTTCCATGATTTTACTTCTTGTTAGCGTCTGGGTAGCACTGAAAAGAGACGTGTGTCGAGCAATAATAAATAACAAGAAATCATATATCCCGTTTTATTATACAACATTATGTTATTTGTTTACGAGTGCGAATTGTGTCATCCCGATTCCATTGTGACAAATCAGAAACGCCCGCCCGCCGATTATGCATTAGCCAGCGGTTTGACGGACGCCGACATGAAATTCTCTGGTTATCAGAGGCCTAACAGTTCTCACACAGTCATTTGAAGAATCTTCTGTGTGGGTTTAACCCTGAAGTTGAACTTTTATAATGATTTGTATTATTTTGTTTTGTTATTGGAGTTTCTTTAAACTAAACCTCAAATTTCGCTCACCGTGGGTGATTAATAAATGGGAAGTTGGAACTCTTAGCACGAATTCTTGATTACTCTGCATGAGAGTAATAAAACAGTTGAGAGCGTAATTTGGTGTCAGATTACGCGGGAAGTAGAGAATAAATCTGAAAACAACGCACTTCAGTTTTAATCAAAACATTTTTCGACGCCCTTCCGACGAAAAGTGACATTAAAATATTTTACATAGTTCGTTCATGTGTTGTTTGACGCGGATTCGCATTGATTTTTTTCGTTTTTGCGATCCTTTATCAATTATACAGTACCCTTATATAAACATTACCGCGGAGGTAAGTAGTTATTTTCCCAAATATTAAACCGTAATGGTTTTCTACATCAGAAAAAACATGATAAAAGATGATATTAGTACGTTTAGGAAATTATCAGCCTGAATAATGTTTGTTTTGCACTTAATTCCAAAAACAGACTATTAACTGAGTTAAAAGCTGTCCTGCGGGTCAATTTAGGTACAAAGTGCTTCGAATTTTACCAAAAGGTTTAATTATGTTATGGATGAAGCAATTCTTACGAACAATCACCTAAAGAAATTGTTCTTCTAAAATGAATGATTTTGATTGGTTCGCATTTGGCGGTCATGCTGATTTCAACCACTCAGAAGTGACAAGTGATACCACCCACGTGATCAAAGTGTCATCGAAGGAATGTAATTGATAATGCAGTCATAATTTTACGGTACACAAGCCTGAATTGGTGATGCGCAAAAAATATGCAAAAGCTGAAGCGTTAATTGGAGTGAGAAGTAATACGACTCTTTCATCGAGCGTGTTTATGATTTTAAGAACGATATGTTAGTTTTGGAGGTTGTTGTCATTTCTGGGTAGTCGGTAACAAGACGTTTAGAGCTAATAGCAATGTTGCTCTGTAAACTTTCGTGGTTGTCTGGTGTAGTCATAATCTTTATAGGTCAGTTCCACCACTACTGGTCAAGTTCTTCGAACTTGTTTAAGTTTGCAAATATTTTTGTCTTGCACAGATTTCTTGAGCCCTCTGTGAGTTTGATCCTAACTGTTTCATTATTCTGTTTGATCTGTAGGTGTCTCGGTTAGGGCACTGAAGCTAACCGCAGTGAGAGATAAAGTTAGCGTAAATGTTCGGCAAGATGTCTCTCTGAACTGGACTTTGGAAATAAAACCTGGAGAGAAACCTGACATATTATGTGGAACAAGCACAAGCGGTTTGGAAGGCTCGGCCCTTAAAATGAAAGACGTACTTTTTGCGAAACGCAAATTTCAGGACAAACCTCAGCCATCAGATGAGATGCCTTCCAAATTTTCCGGCAGAGTTCACATGATTTGGCAGAGCCAAACTATTTCGCTCTCGATCAAGCGGGTTGATCTATCAGATGAGGGCTTTTACATGTGCGAAGTCAGTACGTTATTTGTCACCGCCAGAGAAAAAATATCCTTGGAAGTGATAGGTAAGTGTGATGTTTTTGTGTTTTTTTTTTTTGTACTCTCTCCGTCTTCGGCTTAGCTTTTAGCCGCGCGGTTGATTAGAATACAGTTCAAACAGGCGATGAGACCCGTTCAACAATGACAGCGAGATGTAAGTATTATAAAAGCGCTTAATTATGTGCTCTTCGGAGCACTTTTGTAGCTTTTAGTAAACATTAACAATCGTGCATAAAGTAATGGATGCGTTTATTGCGCTCTATGGACTCGATGCTCAAATGAAGTAACCGAGAAGGAAACCAGATTTGTAAGATCCCTGATATTTGGTGGTGCGGTCATTTAGTTATGAAACAGACAGCTTACCAAGATCACATAGAGATAAAATTACTGGTCAAGCAGAAAATCTGTTACGCGAGAGAAAGCGAAGGAAACAAACAATGAGATAATAAATTGTCTTGAAACCACCGTTTTTACATGAGAATCTTTTTCACCAGTTTCATTAATGATCCTAAGGAAATGCCGATTGAGAACAAATCACAGTTGTAAATTGCTTTGCTTCCTGAGTTATTTACCCGGCCAGTTGTCTTGTCAACAGTACACTTCTTCGCTTCTGATCGCCACAAAATCTCTATGTTTGGGTTAAACCAGCTTAAATTGCTTGAGAGGTTTGTTTGAAAATATTTTCAGAGTAATAATCGGTATTCCGGACTTCGGTGAACCAGAGATGTAACACAATTTTATCTTCGACTACGATTTTGTACACTTTGTGATATTATCGATAGGGATAGCAATAAAGCTGTCCTTTCAACTCCCTCTGTTTACGGAGGTATCCGATTGTTTAGATTTGAATGAAGCTGCGTTAAGGGAATGTAAATAAGGCTTCTCGCAAAGGAAGTTGTCCGTGATCTGCCTCAAATTTTAATTTTCGTCCATTCTATTATTGCACTGTTAGATTTGGTTTCATGTAATCGCGAATAACAGTTATTACATTGATTTAGTCACCCGCGTCACTTGCAAGGTCACTATAATTTTCAATATTTCTTTACTGTTTGCTTTTCTTTCTACATTCAAACTTTTTCCGTTTGTACTTTGAATATTTGGCCGCATTTTAATGCCGTGCTCGGAGAAACAAATTTTGGAACAAAATGATCAAACGTTCGAAATGGAAATGTCAACAAACCATTTACGATCGAATGAATAACCTAATACGAATGCTAAAGACCTATGGAATAAGTCTGAAATCAGGGAGAACGCATTCAAGATAAATTGTTAATGGTAAGTTTAGAAGTCAATCCCGAAGAACATTTTGTTGTAATGGTGTGATTGGTATTTTTGAGAAAGGGATAATGCATATTGTTGTAATGGTGTGATTGGTATTTTTGAGAAAGGGATAATGCATTTGCTTAGCTGGAAATTAATTTGTTCGTGACTTCTTCTATCGCAGATCGTCCTCGCAAGAAGCCACCCTGTAGGTCAAAAACCGCATATTGAGTGAAACAAAGCCCTTACTACGCTATCCGTTTATTTAGAATTTTTTAAGTGTCCTTGCTGCTCTTCTTTCGCATTTCATTGTCGCCGAATTGTAAACTGGACTTAAAAAATCGAGAACGGAGTTTAGCAGACTGTACAGGGCTTTGTTTTGACTTCGAGCGGACATTATTGAAGTCCTGTTGATGAATAGGCAACTACTGTTTTTTTCACAGAATTCATTACATATAATTTTTTAAGAGACCAGCTGCTCCAAGTAATTAAAAATCCTTTCTTTTGCCAACTCCTGAGAGGTCTTTTTTTGGCACAACCTTCAAATGATTTGCGATTAGTAAATAATTTATTCCGCAAGGGTGTCAATGTCAATGAAACAGCGTGGGGAACTTGGTTTTTTTCTTAGCAAACACTGTGTTTCGCTCCTGTGTAAGTTGCCTATTTTTATATTTCATTGTTATCTCCCAATATTAAATTCAGATTTAGCTGTGGTGAAATAATTTGGAAAGTTTGGTTCGTATTGTGCGTAATGTTTTTATTCAAATACTTCCTTGTGGGTAATCATTGATGGAATTTTCAATTTAGAACGACACTTGATATATGACGGTGAAAAATCGCTTTTAGATGCAAATGCGAAAAACATACAAAAATCAGTCATATTCAAAATTAGAATGACAAGATAATATGAACATTTAAGTAATTTAAAATCTGCTGATTCTTAAATTCATCTTTTTTTATGAATAAAATTTGTCTTACATAAATTTGTCTTGGAAAAGAAAAATTGAAAGGAGAAATCTTTTGACTGGGATGTTAAGAGGTTGAAAGAATATTAATATTGTGACCATAACTGATGTGTTCTAATATCTGTGACATTTGATTTGTGTTTGGATATGGGTGTTCCAAACATTTAACTGGAAGTTGGGTGTTGGATTCATGTATTAATAATTTGTAAGGGTTTTTTTTTTATTCAGGCATAAAGTTGAAATGGCAGGAAGGTACAGAGTAGCTTACAAGTGAGATGAGTTTGAAAATAGTTGCTGTTGATCATTTAGCCTTGTTATTGCTGGCTGTCTAAACACTTATAGTAGTCTTCCTTATATTTTTGGGGTGTTTTAACCCTGAAACTCCTATAAGTGATCAAGACAGAATTTATCCTTACATATGAAGACGATATCAAGCAGGCAAGGACTGAGAATAAATAAAAGTATCAGTTAGGGGATTATTAATTGATCCAATGCCAACTTCTTCAAACTAACATCGGAAGAATTTTATGACTAACAGTAAGGAGAAATGATCAGAAGATCTGTTAGTGAAAAGGCTAAACCCTTGCTGTAATGTCATCCAGTAAAGTTCAACAATATTTCATCCTTAGGTTTTTATTTTTTCACACTTTTAAACTTAACTCCTCTGGCTGATTATAAAAATTGATGGTTTTCTTTTTAGAATCTAAAATCTAGCAAACATTATAAAGAGAGGCAAAGATAACTGAACTACTGGGTGTAATCTTGATGTAATCCCAAATTCTCACAACCAATTTTTAAGTTAAATGTGTCGCAGCTTAGAGAGAATTACATGTAGCATCTGAGTAGTTACAAGGTTGATATACATGTTTTTGTGTCTTTTGTATATATAGTGTAGAAAGTTTGGTGAGATACGGTTTTTCTTACCAGAAAATGTTGGTTTTGGTACACTCTTGTTAATGCTGTTTTTCTTTTGGTTTTGTTTTTCTTTTAACTAACGCAGTCAAGTTAGAGGTAATTGAAGCTTTTAATTCTTTAAATCCTATTAGTGACCAAGACAAGATTTCTCCCTACAATTTTAATACAATACCAGGCAGACAAGTCACAAGAATAAAGAAAAATATCAGTTCGGGTATTAATTATCAGTTGATCCAATACCAAATTCTCCAAACCAAGATTGTAAGAATTTTATGGCAGACAGTAAGGAGAATTACTGGTTGGATCGAGATCTTGGGAGTGAAAGGTGTATGAGAAAAACCTTTTAATCCACTGCTGGAAATGAAACTTCAAGTGCACCACAGTGTTCTTAGTTAGATTTGAAGAAGGCATTTGCCAAATATGATGCAGGCTGCTGTGATAAATAGACAAATTGAATGGCTTAAGAACAAAACTTTGCAATCCTCTGCTGGAAATGAATTTCTTTTTGTGTACAAAGGGTTTCTCAGTAGGATTTGTAGTGGGCGTCTGCTTAATTTGAAGCAGGCTGCTGTGACGAGGAAAATATAAAAGTCAGGCACGTAGACTATAAAAGTAAGCCGCCGTAGATCTTAAAGTTGTTTACTTTCTTTGACACCATTTATTTGACTTTACAAAATACTTTCAAGTCCTATTCACAATTTTTTTACCATGAGTTGTTATGTTAGGTTACTTAAAAAAATGGAAGATTTAGAACACTTAATTTATGTATGGTGTTGCACAATTTTTTCAACTTATGCAAATTTCCTGCAATCTAAGATCTAGCGATAGAGATGTTTGGCTATTTGATTGGGGGTTAACCTGAGTAAAGATAGGGCAGAATAACAGAAAACGATTAATTCAAATACTATTTTGAATATTTTGGTAAAAATAAATTCAAAGAACTTACAAGCTTAAGGACCAAAGCTTTGTAGACAAACTGGTAAATAATTTCATAATGACTATTACAATCGTTAAAAAAATTTGACGGGAGTATAATTGATCAAGCGAACAGTGTTTGTGGTCGATGCTATCTTAAAAAAATTTTGAAAATGTCGGGGCGGGCTTCACTTCACAAAGACAATTGCCCACACAATGTTCATTATAGCATGACTGCTCAAGGGCTCCTTTCTAATTAGTATGCAATTACTGTTGTGATTATAGTAATTAATGAATGTCTGTGACTAGTAGAGGGAAATATGATGGTCATTAGGTTCAGCAAGTTTTCATGCTGTTACAGCATGGATTGAATTATTGAGGGTGGTACACAAACCCAATAATTTCTTGATGAGAAGCCCTTGAAAATTAATTGTGTTGGTGATGCAAGGAGCAGTTTTACTGATTGACTTTCTCATGATTACAGCTCTGTTGCCTGCATTTATTTATTAGCATTTAAATGTAAATCAGTCTTTTTTCAGTTAGTTGTCTCAATTGTTAATTAAAAACAAAAATTAAAAACAGGATATAGAGTTGGCACTCACTCACCTTTTTGGCAGACAGTAAGGAGAATTACTGGTTGGATCAAGATCTTGGGAGTGAAAGGTGTATGAGAAAAACCTTTTAATCCTCTGCTGGAAATGAAACTTCAAGTGCACCACAGTGTTCTTAGTTAGATTTGAAGAAGGCATTTGCCAAATATGATGCAGGCTGCTGTGATAAATAGACAAATTGAATGACTTAAGAACAAAACTTTGCAATCCTCTGCTGGAAATGAATTTCTTTTTGTGTACAAAGGGTTTCTCAGTAGGATTTGTAGTGGGCGTCTGCTTAATTTGAAGCAGGCTGCTGTGACGAGGAAAATATAAAAGTCAGGCACGTAGACTGTAAAAAGTAAGCCGCCGTAGATCTTAAAGTTGTTTGCTTTCTTTGACACCATTTATTTGACTTTACAAAATACTTTCAAGTCCTTTCAAGTACTTTCAAGTCAGACCCAATAATTTCTTGATGAGAAGCCTTTGAAAATTAATTGTGTTGGTGATGCAAGGAGCAGTTTTACTGATTGACTTTCTCATGATTACTGCTCTGTTGCCTGCATTTATTTATTAGCATTTAAATGTAAATCAGTCTTTTTTCAGTTAGTTGTCTCAATTGTTGATTAAAAACAAAAATTAAAAACAGGATATAGAGTTGGCACTCACTTTTGTTTAAAATCACTTTCAATTCAGGATGTTGGTTGCCGCTGGAAATTAAACCTTCTTTAAATTAAAACGTGTTAGATGGCATAGGGGGACCCTGATGTTTTAAAGAATTGGGTGAAAAATTTAAAATGTTGATTCATAATTTAGTAGTGTAAACTTACAGGGTTAATGTGACCCCACATATTTATAAAATAAGTTTAAGATGTTTTTGTGGGTATCTATCTCTTACTAACTGAGTTGGAGGTCTGTACTGTAAGTTGCAAACCAAATTGTTTTCTGCTCAGATTTATGGCCAAGTGCCAAGTGCACAGGGCAAAAATTTAGGTGGACTTAATGGGATATGTAATTTACAGTATTGTCCATGAAAACAAGTTTAGTAAGATATTTATTATATCTAGCTTCAAGACTCTTTTTTTCATTACAAAACAAATCAAATCATGGTAATGAAATAACCAATTCTTTGAGATTTCTTTCAACTGAAAAAGGAGAAAGGAAAGAAATTAATAAATGTTTTGCCAAAACAGGTCAGTTTAAGTGCCATTCTCAGTGCTGTCAGACTTTTGGTCTCCATAAGATCAAAATCAGTTTCCATGTAGAAAGCTTTTGACCTTGCTTATTGTTTCAGTTTGTTTGAGGGGCATCACATCTGCACCTAGAGCATGGCCTACAATGGGTGGCAAAAGTGTTTGCATATACTACTAGCTTTTAAATTTCTTCTTCAACTTTCATTTATTTCTTCCTCTCCCCCATCTCAATTTTGCCTGCATGGTGTTGACAAAATGGGCTAATTAATTTTTATATACTACTTAATAAAAAAAACTACTACAACAAGATATGTGGGGTTTACTTGCAAATTAAAGGCTGCACTATGCATTGCCAAATCAAACACTTGTAACCTACTCAAAATTTTATTTATTCCACTATCAATAAGTAGTACTTATTTTTATGGGTAGCAAAGATATGAATTTTATTGGAAAACAATTTATTGTGCGATCAAATTCAGGTAAGAGAAAAGGTTTATTGGCCTTTTTTTTGGTAATCCAATTGCACAAGTAGATCACAATTTTTCCTGTTTGAACGGAAAATCAAGTTGCCTGTTGTAGAAGTTTGAATGGCTAAAGTTTCCTGCCCTGACAAGATAAGGCAGAAATACTAGCATCTTCTCATGATGGAAGCATAAGTTTGTAACTGACCCCACTTGAAAAAATTTCAGCTATGTGGTTTCAGTGATGGTACACAGAAGTTTCTTCACAGTATTTCTTTATTTGCTTCTTTCTACAACCTTGGATATTCCCTACTGAATTGTTTTCTTTTATAGATCCTCCACGGATTACAACAGTTCTTCCAAAGGAAATTAACAAGAGTGAAGGCCAAAATTTACAACTTACTTGTGAGGCCAATGGGCGGCCAAAACCAAGGGTCTCATGGAAGAGAGGAGAAACAGTTTTCAATAGGACACGGCAGATTTCCTCTCTGAATTTTTCACCCTTAACTTACAAAGATCATGGGGAATACAGATGTGTTGCTGAAAATGCTGGTGGAAGGGAAGAAAAAAAAGTCAAAATCAATGTCCAGTGTAAGTGTAGTGTTATGTGATTAATTAACTTTAAATGCCACCATCTCTCATGCTAGACGTCATTTCCTCAAATTAGCATCTGGGCTCTGATAGGGGCCATCCACCAAATAAGCACCCACCCTTGAAGGCCATAATGTCAAACATGCAACTATCCCAATGTGCAATCCTCCATTGTTTCCTTACTTTCTTAAATACTAGGGATGCAAGGAAAAGCTCTTTCTATAACCACTTTCTTCAAAACTTTTTAAGCTTTAATAACTACAACAGAATCAGTACAGGAAAATGATAAGCAGCCTCCTCAATTAAGCACTATCCTTAAATAGGTATTTCTCCTTTTATGGTTTTTTTTGTGCAGCTTTGCGGCACATTTTGTAGGCCAAAAATCGAGATTTTGGTGAGCTAAAATATATTTTTCTCTCCTAATTTACAGTGTTGATAATGGTACAATACAATTTGTGTTCTTGGGCATCAGTATGTTTTGGGGCCCTTCTCAGAGTCATTTTAAACCTTGCCTAGCAGCTTGGGCTAAAATGACTCCAAGTCAGGCCCAAAGTATATTGCCTGTGATCATAAACCCAATTGTTTTTAATTATTGATTTCAGATTTTTTAAAAATGTTGCTTGTTGTTAAATTTCAGATTCACCCAAGGAAACCAACATTACCACAGATGCTTATCAGGACATAGTTAGTGATGGTAGTCGCATTTCAATCACTTGTGTAGCATATGGGAATCCTAAACCACTTTACCAATTTTTTATTGAAGATAAGCCTATAACAGATAGAAAGGCAGAGATATCAGGTGTACTAAGTGTGACAGCCATTACCTACAGGCAAAGTGGAATCTACAGCTGTGTACCAGAAAATGAAAAAGGCAAAGGTCCCAAAAAGGAGGTTGCCATATACGTCCGACGTAAGTCAAGTTACTGGGAATTAAAACATCTCTGACATAATTGTTTGTGTTTGAACAAGAGGCCTGATCACTTTGGACCAGTGACTCTTTCACAGATTGATGATTTTGCACTAACTTTTATTTTCAAAAACTTGTATGGTAGCCTGGCAATGCCTACCTTTATCTTGGTTACTTTGGTTAGCTAACTGTGCCTGTGATTAACTCACATTGTAGAGGACCAGACTACTGTGTGGGAGGTTCAGGGTTCAAGCCCTGGATCAGACCAACATTTGGGGTCTTAAAATAACTGAGGAAAATGTGTTGCCTCAGCCATGACATACGCAGATGCCGAGACATTCCAGCCTTCTCGGATAAAGACAATAAACTTTAGGCCCGGTCTCTTGCACCTTCTCTGGTTGGCGGGGGATATTAAAGGCCCCACAAACCTTTCACAAATAGTAAGAAAGATATCTCTTAGTGTTGTGGTTTGACCTGGTTTTTGTGTATACAGGTCCCCATTCATACCAGATTTGAGCTGAACTAGGCTAGCCTGTCTAAATATCACAAATGCATACATACAGTATATGCCATTAGCAGTGCTACACAAACACATGTTTTGTCATGTGAATTAAAGAACTCTTCAGTCATTGGATCCCTCACATCCCTCACATCCCTCGCACTGCATATCATTTGTGTGCCACGGAAAGAAATGCAACAGCAGCTTTTGATTACTGACAACCCAACAAAACACCTACAATTAGAACATTTTGGAGACTAAGTGCAGGTAGGAAAGCTGTAATGGCTTCTTATGGCAGGAAATTAAAAACTGGGTGACATGATTGAGTACAATACCTGGTACCTCAACTCTAACCCAGACCCCCACTTGGTTTGTGAGAAACCTCTTTCTTTTCTTACTTCTAAGCTCACCTTACAAGACAAAATGGTTCTGAATTTTTTCTTCAGACAAACCAGAGATCACTCGTCAACCAGCCAACGTGGCTGTAGATGAAGATTCCCCTGTGTCAGGGTTTTGTGATGCCAAAGGTTACCCACCTCCAGAAATAACATGGGAGAAAGTACGAGGCAATAAACTGGTTGCCAGGGGAAGGAATTTGTTTATTCCAAACGCTCGGCGATCTGACAAGGGACGGTACAGATGTGTGGCTTCTAATGGCGTTGGATATGCAAGTGCAGAGTTTAGGATTGATGTTTACTGTGAGTGAATACTTTAATTATGATATAACATATGCAAAGCAGGGGCTTAAATATATTTTTCTCAGGCTCTGGAAGAAGGGCTGTACAGCAGGCTAAAGAGATGGCAGTAAGTGGTCTTAACAGGGCATTGGCAGAACACTGGTAACTAGTGTTTTTTGAAACATCTGTACATAGAAGATATACTTATTATGTGTGTCATGTGGATGTTAATTTTATGTTCAAGTGTTGATAATTTTTCTCAGAGTGAGGAAAGCAAGCAAGTAAGAGATATTATCCCCTCAAAATAGAAAGCAAAATGCTTTCTCCTCTCAGGCCCTCCTTTTCAATCAAAAAGTATGTATAATATATAGTGGTATTAAAGTAAATGGCTAGCTGTGTTCTACAAATAGTCCATTTTACAGTTGTGTGCTTGGTTGCCAAGCCTTTGAACAGGAGTGAGGCTATTAGGTTGACCTTGTTATGATACAAACCTTTTTTTCTTCTCAAATGCAAATTACTTTGTTATCATGCTAACTAGATACTGGTCTCTATCACAACAAGGTCACCTTCAGCCTCACTCCAAATCAAAGGCTTGGCAACTAGGTACATGCACAACTGTAAAATGGCCTATTGAGGAAAAATGGGATCTTTATAACCAGTATGGCAATGTGAGTGGAACCATAAGCTTGACAACTTAAAACTCACTTGTGTCTATCTTCTCCAGCTCCGACCATGTCTTGCTTTGGTGGTAACCAAAATACAATGTATTTGCCTCAGAAAGAGTTGTTTTATGGTTATTTTAAGAAAAAATGATCTTTTAAATTGACCATATTTGATTTACTTTTTTTTGTCTTTCCCCAACAAGACAAGCCTGTTATTAATAGGACTGCATCAAGTCAAGACATTCCAGTGTGGGCAGGGAATACAGCAAATTTGTCATGTGTTGCTGATGGCAACCCAGCTCCTCGATACATCTGGACTAACTCAACTGGTCATGTAGCAACCTCAGAGGAGAGTGGAGTACTGCAGGTAACTCCGCAGGATTCCGATGGTTTTGGGCCGTACACATGTACAGTGGAGAACAGTAAAGGAAAGGATTCCTATGATATACGTCTGGTGAAAGTTGGTATGTTAAATTTAATTGCAGGGGTTTCAATAACTTTTTTTTTCATTAGTGGCTGCTGATGGTGTAATAGGTGGCTGTGACTAGAAAAGGTGCCATGAATCTCAAACAAGAGAGCTTGCTTGCAACTAGACTAAACAGACAACTGTTAGAGGTGTTAATTTATAGATGGCTGTCAGACAGCCTGTAACTGGTTACTCCTCCTAGATGCCATGCTAGTTCTTGAAAACTAACTCAGGAATTTTGATAGAGGACAAATTTCTGTCCTCCATTTGTCCAAATACATTTTAGGGCCCAGTTGTCCATAGAGTGATAATGCTATCCAATGAATAAATCACTATCCATTAAATAAGTTTCAGAAAAATGCTTTGTGCTGTGTTCTGTGCGGAATCTCTATCCACTTGATGGAGGATTTATCCATTCATCCATTTATTAAATGGGAGCCAAGAGCAAAAAACTCTTTCACCTACTGTAGGTATTAAGGAATTGAACAGAACAGTCTTTCAAAGACACATAGAAATAATTTATTTGCCAATTAGGATTTTTGAAATGACTTCTTTGTCTCTGTGATTTGACATGTATTTGCTTTTAAAATTCAGAATTCTGCCACATTTAGGTGATCATATTTGCATCCAGCACTTGGTCCCCCTGTTCAACTCATCTTTGTTTTTTAGTTGCCATTCCATCATAAATGTTTTACCTTAATTGAAGATTGAGGTTTGGAGAGAATCTATCTTAATAACTCTTCACCATTCTTTTGCATCTGTCTTTAGATAAACCAATTGTCAAACTTAACCTTGAAGCACGGTCCACAACCTCTCTCTCCTTCACTTGGTCATTACTGTCAGATAGCATGAGCAATAATCCGCCTTACTACACTTTACAGTACCGTATGGATCAGGACAGCGCCTGGTTGAAAAAAACAATTTCTTCAAAAGTCAATTCTTATGTGCTTACTGGTTTACAGCCTTATACTTTGTATACTGTACAATTGCTTGCAACAAATTTGCACTTTACTAGTGACCCATCTCGTGTCACAGCAAAGACTGGTGCAGCAGGTAAGATTGGGACTCTGTATTCTGTACTGGTAGTTTGTTCGTATTGCTTGTGTGTAGAAGCAATGAATGATGCAGAATTCAGTTGAGAGTTGTAAAACCAAAACCTAGGAAAGTACAATAGCAATCTGATTAGGAATTCATTCCCAAACCCATCTGGTTAATTGTGAAGAACAACTCCCAGAAAAAAACCTGTCGACTGACTAATGGCCAACTGTTGACTGACACAGATGGATGACAGGTGGTCATTACTGCAGAGATAACTCTCATATTCATTTATTAATACATGAGTTGATGAAATAGTCAGTCTAGGGGAGCTTTTCTTCATAATAACCCCCATCTGACACAACTCTCAAGAGAATTATCATTCACACACTTTAGACTTGGGTCATTTATCAAAAGAGAATTACATGTAAGAACCTTGGTCTGCTTCTTTTAATTTGTAATTGACCTTATTAGAATTTGTTCTGTTATCTAGCACCTGGACCTCCTGAGAATGTCAGGGCATATGCAGTTAACAGGACGTCTATTCGTGTGGAGTGGGACCCCCCAAAGAAACCCAATGGACCAATAAAAACATACTCTGTCTTTATCCCAGACAGTGTGCACTTGGTGTCTGTTAAGGAAAATGTTACTGAGGTTGTCATTGGACGTCTGGAGCCATACACCAACTACACTGTGAAAGTGAGGGTGCAAAACAGTGTAGGTACAAAGGAGAGCTCTGCTGTGATTGTTCAAACAAAACAATCAGGTTAGTTCTTACATCTGCTTTGCACCAGGGATCTCATGAATCAAGGTGAATCCTTGGTATGTCCAGAAGTGCTTGCAGTAACTAAAAAGGCAAAAATTTGTCAAAGTTGCCAGATCTGCTGAGCTGATTTTGTTTTGACCAATTTGACTAAAATTCGTCAAAATTCTGCCAAACTGATTTCACTTTGAAAAGTTTGACTAAAATGCGCAGAAATCACCGAACCATGAATATTCAATTGGTTTGACAAAATTTTGTCAAATCTGCCATTTTCATTGCTGCATGCTTTTCTAGACATAAGGGGAATTGTTGTAATCTGCTCCTGAATATTTGAATAACTGTTGGAATAATGTCAACTCAGCTGGCACTATATATGTCAGTTTTGTTATGGTTTTCCATTGGATTGTGCCTGCAGAGCCTTACTTTCATATGATAAAACTTCTAAAATGATATTTACGATATACTAACTATATACTTTAGACTATATAGAGAGACCAATCATGACCTAATTGCACCACCTGAGCAATCAGCTTATACGAACAGGACTTAAAACATTTGACTGACAACAACTATTACGTAACCTTGACTTAGATGATGACTTCCTCGCAGATTATCAAAACAAAAGTCACCACCTGCCACAACAGTCTGTCTCTGGACAATCAGACTACATTATCATATACAGACTAGGTAAACATTTGCCTTTTTTTTGATCAGCCCCAAGTAAACCAGGTAAACTTGAGGCAAACATGACAGGACCTCACAGTGTGCGTCTAAAATGGACAAAACCAAAAAGACCAAATGGCATAATTGTGATATTCAAAGTAAGAATGTTCTGGAGGTTCAAGAACAGAAAAGGAGGGTACAAATACAATACTTACATTATTCCTGCAAAAGTTACAAACAAGAGGAGGAAAAGGAGACTTGCCCGTGAAACGTCAGATAATATTGTATGGAGACTAGATCCCTTCAGAGACATTGAGCTGAAAAAGATACAGCCTTTTGCTATCATATCAGTGCGTGTATCTGAGGCAACTAGAGATGATGACAAGGAACCAATGTGGAGTCCATTTTCCAGTAACCAGACCATAGAGACTGACGAGGGAGGTAAGAGGACACAATAATATTGTTTTATTTGAGAGAAATTGGAGGCTGTTACTCGTTGTGGTGGGCAACTGTAAACAGGGATTTCAAAATAGGCCTATGACCACTGGAGTTCCATTGGCTACATGATAACATGTCACCAGTTACTCTTGTTAAATTAGTTATCTCCTGGCCCTTAGTAAAATTTTTTATAGTCACTTACTTTGGCAGTTCGCGTCTGAAGCTTTAATTGTCATTGGCGATGTTCACCTTTCTTTATTCGCCTTGACATCCTTACAAACTGTTGGAAATAAAAAGAATTATTTTTTACTAAAGATCTTGTCTACAAAGCCAAGTCTTTTTTTGAAATCTGACCGATTGACTTAGCGAGTCTTTACAGTGTTGTTGTCACACAATAACTCGTTCACGTCTAAAACTTTTTTGGTCATTGGCAATGTTCACCTTGCTTATTTGCCTTGAGATCCTTATAAACTTTGTTGAAAGATCCTTAAAAACTTTTTTGAAATGACCGATTGAAAATCTTTGTTTTTTTTTTTTAACTGTCTAAAAATATTTTGTCCAGAGATCCTTATAAACTTTGTTGGAAATAAAAAAAAACTGAATATCTTTGACATAATGAGAGATTTACAGTGATTTGGGATTTACAGTGTCGTTGTCATGCTCAATAATATCTCGTTCACGTCCGAAGCTTTCTTAGTCATTGGCGATGTTTACCTGGCTTTATTCGCCATGAGATCCTTATAAACTTTGTTGGAAGAAAAAAAATTGCTTTTTTCCTAAAGACCTTTTACTTTTCTATGTGTTTAACTTCTAATAAGTTGTACTGGATTGAAGACCAACCCGCCGACGTCTCTACTCGATTTTATACGTCGGCGAGTTGAACTGTCGGCTGTCGGGGGGGGGGGGGTTGATTATAACAGAAGAGTGTGGCTACTGTCATTAGGTTTACTTGGACAGAACTGACAAATATTTATGGAAGGAAATGAAACTTGAGGGCACTGATTGATACAATGTGATTCAGTAGTAATCCTTGTCTGTCTATTGTAATGTGATCATGTTATTTTATTCAACCCTTTAATCCCTAACATCAGTAGGTATGTTCTCCATACTGTTTTCTTGAATTCCCTTCCAGCACCAGGTGCTCCAAGTGATGTCAAACTGGAAGAGAAATCAGCCACATCCTTGTTAGTGACTTGGAAATCACCTGAGTATCCAAATGGAATTATTCAGGGATACAGGATAATCTACTCTGACAACACAGGGAGAAACGTCAGCACAGCAGATATCACAAAAGGGCTGACCAATAAAACATTGTTTTATCTATTAACTGGTCTCAAGGAGAATGTAGAGTACAAAGTTTATGTAAGTACAATTGTAACAGTTTTAATGAACTACTGTAGTTAATTCCATGCAAAACTAAAATTGTGAATCATGTGTGATTCTTGCAATCTCACTTTTTCACCCTTTTTGCACACTGGTCAAAATTTGATCAGTTTTGGGCTTCAGTCACACAGTATGACTGAAATCACTAGTTGAGTTTTCAGTATGTACTTTGTCCAAGTTGTAGAGCATCTGCAGTATCAATGTTGATTGGGAGTGTTCACAATTCCTGTGTTTTTGTTTGTTTTTTTTTTTTTTTGCGGGGTGTGTATGTCTGTGTCAGAAATTAACTAACATTAAAGGAAGGTTTTTTTCAGTCTTTTGGTGGACTGGGGGTGGGGGGAGCTAAGAATGGGTCAAGAATGACTGACCCCTTAAACTCTTTTCACTCTAACATCAGTATGCATATTCTTCCATGTGTTCTGTACATTCCTAGCAATCAAGAGCTTCTATAGATGGTGACCATTTGTTTTATTCTAGTAACCTGAAAAATTGATTCAAGGGATTGTAGTTTGTAGGGAGAAATTAGATGCTAATCACTCTTAGAGGTCAAGTTTTATATCTACCTAATGACTGAGATGAGAGATGAAATTCTCAAAATATCTAATATCCTTGTTAATCAACTGTTATTAATGATGCTTCTGATGTGCTCTTTCCCCAACAGGTTCAAGCTTTTACTAGTTATCCAGGAGAGGTCAGCTCTCCAGTCATTTACAACAAAACACCAGGTTAGGCTGGAGATATATACTCTATCATGTCTTAAACTATAAACAGAACCCTGTGCAACTAGCTACATGTACCTTTAAAAATATAATGTTAAACCATTGTTTGATGATCAATATTGTGAGTTTTGTAACTGATTTGATCATTGTACTTTGCTGCTCCAGGAGATGTGGCAGAACATACTGGAGTGGACACTGGATCACTGTATGGTGGAGTATTTGCTGGGATAATAATTTTGGCTTTTGCGATCATCATTATTGCTTTAATTATAAGGTAGGATGTCCAGTTTATACTCCCATTTAATTGTAGAAACAACAAGTATTTAGATGTGGCTAGGGGCAGAGATTCAATTGGGTAATAGTCCATTTTACAGTTGCGTGCTTAGTTGCCAAGCCCTTGAATAGGAGTGAGGTTAAGGGTGACTTTGTTATGATCCAAATGTTGCTGCTTTTCAATTGTAAATTACTTTGCTATCACACTAACTAGATACTGGTCTCTATCACAACATGGTCACCTTCAACTTCACTCCAAATCAAGGGCTTGGCAACTTAGTACATGTACAACTGTAAAATGGCCTATTGCCACTTTTCTCCACTACATTTGAATTTCCCACAATGTAACATGATATCAGATTTCTGGAAGTAGGCATCTTTAGTTCAAGAGAACTGAGAGGTGCTTCGAATTTTGTGGTGTTAGTGTGTAGTTTTAACTTGTTTGTGATTGTATGCCAGTTCTGAAACCATGGATGGGGGAAAAATTTTAGATTCTTATCAGAGTTCATTGAATTTAATCAACAGAAAACACAGAAGACGAAGAGATTCCACAGAACTCAAGAACAATCGTTATGCTGTGGCTAACTCTAATGACAGTGGGATAGGAGATAAGGACTCTCTTGACCGTGTGCCTGGGATCAAGTATCTTCAAGGGCGACGTGGATCAGAAGGTTCGGAATCATGGGTTTAGTTAGTATGGAAAGCTTCTTGATTTGTATTTTGTACAATGCATGCTACAGATCTTCAATCAAGGATTGTCCCACCATTTGGGATAACTTAATGGAAGATTTATCTGCTGCAATAAGGTGATCAATGGATTTTTCTTGGTTTAGACCTGTTCATTTCAGCAGATGAAGTCATTAGCAGTAAGCACTTTAATAGGATTTTTAGGAGAAATTGCCCCCAAAAACCTGGAAAAAAACGCCATTGTGTGCTGAACGTAGATATTAAGGCAACCAATAACATAAAATAGACAATAATTGGAAATTGCTTTAAGGTGCCTTAGTCCAAACTTAAAGTATTAAATTGATGGAAGCATAAAATATAAATTTAATACATCTTAATTCTGTAAGATGAAATTCAATTTTCTGAAAACATTATTTATTACAATGAAAGTATACATGTTTGTATAATTTGACTGAAATTGATAAATTTCTCTTCTTTTTTGCAACTGTACATTATAAAACAGCTACTACTGTATATCTTCAAAATAATGTAACCTTTTTCTGCCAGCAAAAAAATTTCATAATCTGTAAATATAATGAGAATTGCCATTAAAGCTTTTTACAAGTAAAGAGTTTTGGAAATAATTGGTTTAACAAAAAACATGATATTTTAAAAACCCTTATACCAAGTAATGTTAATTACAATACTGGTCAACGTAGTTCAGGTGTAAAGATTCAGTATGGAACTAATGGAGCAATAGAAAATGTCAAATTTGGAGAACCCAGCTTCAAATTCATTAGGGTTAAAAATTGGCTGCAATTAACACCTGACTAATAACAAAGGTGTGACCATGACATGGTGCCAGTAGGGAAGTTTGAAATACTAGAGTTGGCAATGAAGCCCAGAGATTCTACTCTTAACCCTGTACACCTCAACATCAGTATTTGTATTCTCCAAACTGTGCTCTTAAAATTTTCCATGATACTGACAAGGAGAATTTGTTTGGCAATTGAGAGCCTCTTAAATTGGAGATCATTTTCTCTCGGGGATTAATTTTTTAAGGTTTCCTCAGGAAAATTTTGTGACAGCCACTGGATTGGTTGAAAGGTCAAACCTTTGTTGATAGCAATCATTATTGATAAAACGATTCCACTGTAGAACAGTGGAATATTGGAGCATTGGAACAGGTGTCTGGTGGACAATAAAATGATAAATATTGAGGAAAAAGTCCTAAATTATGTTTATATTATTAACTCGTAAAAATATTGTGGAGGAGTTGAATGGTTCCTCATGAGATTGAATTTTATCTTAAAATTTCAATTCATTTTCAGTTCAACTAAGGTTGCACTTGTATAACTTTCTATTTTACTTTTTCATGCTTAAATATTAAATTAAATGTTAACTTTTTTAAATTTTTATTTTATTTTATTAAATTTTCAGTTTTTGGCCTTTGATTGTATTTTAATGGTTTTTATTGGCAGATGCTACACGCACATTGTTAATTTTCTTGCAGCATGTGACATGCCTATTACACTAACCACACTAAACTAACATGCATAATTAACCTTACAATAAATGCCTAATCATTTTTTCCCACTTTTTTGTGCTAATATTCATGTAATTATAACAGTTTTGAATCATGCTAACACCTCACTATCATCTGAAATCTAGAAGATTTTTTGAATTTGGGAGTTTTTTTTTCTTAATTAATGTTTGCAAGACTTCAATATGACGAACATAAGAATATATTGATAAATATTGTAAATAATTAAATTTTTAAATTATCAAATTATCGTATAATTATCAAATGCAATAATTTTCCTGAACACTGTAGAATTTGATTTTAGAGTGAATTATCCCACTCATGAATAAAATGCTGTGGTGCAATAAAAGTATTCTTAAATGAGGCTCCTTGATATTGCAAACAACAGGAATTGAACTGCTTTAAATAATGAATAAATTTGCACTTTATTAAACAAATTTTATTATCAATCATTGTCTTGTTTGAATGAACCACAAGAAACCTTTTATTTTCATTTATTCATTGCAGTAAGTTATGGAATGGAGTACTTATTCATTTATAAGTGATTTCTTATGGCTTTCAAATCGTGAAAGCACATTGCCCATTGAAAAAAATAAAGTGAGATTTGTGGTTTACAAAATTTTAGGAAATTTTTTTTATCAAATCTGAGTTTTGTGGGTTTTTTGGTACCTTCACTTCCTGTCTAATTGCAAATTTTAGAAAGATATCAAACAGAAAAAGTGTTACAACTATTATTTCACAATTGCTTCCAATCCCTTCTGCATACTCTGAAGGACTGCCATGCTTCTTGGTTGGCTTAGTGTCAACAGTGCTTGTTGAGTGATGAGAAGTTTATTTCGCTGTAAAATGCACTTGTACAGATGGGTAATAATGATTTCCAAACAGAACAATTTTCCGTTGAGTTTTGAAAGCGACCCTGGTTTGCTTTGGGTTTGCCTTACTTTAATCTGTGATTGGTCTAGAAAAAACTCACGCCACCATCTCAACCAATCAAATACAAAAGTTAAACCAATCCTAATATGATCACTCTCGTTTTCCCGCGCTTCAAGCAGATTGCTAGTTTTTACTTTAAGTTCTCATTGGTTGAACATGCCGTTAACATTTGCTCTGATTGTTAGTTGCTATTACTTTGGCAAATGTTCTTTAACACACAATTGAAAACGGCTCTAAACTATAATTTTGATGAATTAGGCTCTGAAATTTTTTTTTGAGACAAAAATTAATGCACAGTTAGTACATTTTAAAAAATATATATTTAATTTTATTCCAAATCCCGCCAGAGAATGCTGAACATAAGTAACTTTTTTTAATATAAAGATTTAAATTACATACTTAAGGTTGACGAATGATGTAATTGACTCAGAGGTAAGTGGAAGTAGCTGATACATCTCAAATAAATCTAACCAAAATGATAAATAAATTTTTAGAAAAATATTTTCAACAAACACGATGTGTGCTGGGAGATAAAGCATCAAGAAACTCTGAGGCCTGGAAAAGATGCACTTTAAGTTCAGGTGATTGCTTAATTAAGAACAATAAATAAATGATAAAGAGTAATATGTAAGAATACAGTACAATTTTTCTTACAATACTCGATGAGGTTAAATCAGAATTTGAGTGTTCCAGTGCAAAGTTTCAGCTTTGTATTTAAGTAAAATGCCTGTAGGATCATTCAAATTGAATATTAAACATAAAATGTATGGTTGGTAGGTAAAGCTTATCCCAGTTTCCATAACATGAGGTGACAAGGAGTGCTGCTACTCCCCCCTGGATGGGATGTCAGTCTATTGTAAGGTTACCCATTTATACTCCTGGGTGCACACACAATGTTTGGGTCACTGCCCAAATGTTCAAAGGTCAATTAGCACTAACCCAAGGTTAAATTTTAATCTAGGTTTGTTCATTCCTTTGTTCAAAGCATTTTTGGGATAATGTTCTCTATTCTTTTTAGAGCATCCATTCATCAGCTTGTAGCGAAACAAACTTGCAATGAATTTTCTTTTAAAGCTTTCAGAGCTGAAATCCAATTTCACACTAACCCTGGGTTATCTTAACCCAGCTTTGAACGACCTGGCCTTGGTCTCCAACTCGGTAATTAAAAAGCCAGCATTTTTACAAGCTAGAGAATAAAGCTTTAATGATTAAAATGAAGATCTTCAATTAGAAATTTATGACCTTAAATGTTTTATAATTGAGAAGACTGATCAATTCACTGGCTATTGATCCGTGAATTTGCATCTACTGTTCCTCACAGATACAGATAGTTGAAGACCTCTACTGTTGCACTACGGTACTGTTGGAATTATTTTCCTCTAGATCATTGTTAAACTAAAACATTGCACACCGCGAGTCATGTAGAGAGGGTTAGAACTGGGATTGTTTTATGAAAAAACGCGTTATTCTATCGGTTGGGGCGTCGGACTCAGGGTTCAGGGGTCTGGACCTGGCAGGGTCTTTGTGTTGTGTTCTTGGCCGAGACACTTAACAATCACAAAGTCTCTCTTCACTCAGGAGTACAAATGGGTAGCAGTGAACTTGTAGGGGGGCTGGGTGAACTTCTAAAGTGGCTGACTAATCTGTGACAGAAAACAGGTGACTAACCATTCATTCCATCCATTTGCGACGAGCTTCAGCTGGATGGGCTTCTTCCTAAAAGTACAGATGTACCGTTTGGGAAAGGTGGTGGAGTGGGGTGGGGAGTTGTTACCTGGGAAAGGGGGTGGGGTGGGGTGGGAAGTTGTTACCTGGGAAAGGGGGTGGGGAGTTGGTGCCTATTTAGGAGGCAAGGTGCCAACTGTTGCATTCCTGTTGAAATATTGACATACACACAAATCAAGAATGCTGAAACTTTTGCGGTTGGACAAAGTTGTGTCGCTAATTCTCCCTGTACACTTTCTACGAACCTTCATTGACTTTAAAAATTTTACAAACAGGTAGAAGTAACTTTAAACTTTCCTTGTGATTTAAAGCAAGTAAGAAATGAAATCTATGATAAAAATGCTCTAAAAGGCCTTAAAAACCAAACAGCCCTTAAAAACCAAACAGCCCTTAAAACAAGGTGGTGTTTTCAACAATAAAGTAGAGTGAATTTGTATAAATTTAAAACCCTATCATCTAACGAACATTAGTGGTCGGGTGTATTAGCTGAAGAAAAATACATTAAACTTAAGACCCAGTTGGCCAATCTGAATGACCCACATGGCAATTCAGGTGAAGTTTAGGTTTGAAGGTTAAAATAGCCTTTTCCGGGAGAAGAGTGCACAAAAAAGACAGTCCGTCTTGGAGAAAGAATACCTTTATTTCTGTGGAGAAAAAATGCTGATCAATCAATCTGGTTAGTCAGTTGATTACCACACTCTGGTGTCACACACTTTCCACCCAGTCGTTTGGTCTTCACCAAATCCAAAAATTCAAAGGGATGCCAATCGTTTTTTTAGAGGTATCATATTAACCTTAAACTTATAGCTAAAGTTTAAAAAAATTCATCTACCTTTGAGCGATGAAAATGTGTATAATTTTTTTTTTTTTAAGCCAGGCAGATCCGCAGTCAGTATGATGGGTGATATAGAAATCACTGGACGTTCCTTAATGGATGTATCTCGTGTTACATAAAATCTTGTTTCATTAAATTTGCAGATGTAGTGGGTCCAGGAAAGTTTGTAACAATCAAACCCATTCCTATTGAAAAGCTGAGAGAATACTGTGAAATCAATCAAGCTGATGGCAACAAGGCATTTAGAGAAGAGTTTGTGGTGAGTTAGTAGCTAAGGGTGAATTTCTACAGAAGTCATTTTTGCCAATAGATAAACGTCATCCTCTGAGAATGATTGCTCATCATTACACTTGGTCGTCAGTTCTCTTCAAGGATTTCGGGTTTGAGCTCGAGGGGACAGACGAGAAATTGGAGGTTGCGAGGTGGAAAAGAAGGGGTCTGAAGAGAGTAACAGAGGACTTCCTTTAACCCAGGCTCTTGCCGTTTTTCGCTCTTTTTTTTCCTCATTTTCATTGACCAAGAGCTCGTCTCCGGCAGCTTATTAACCTACTCGTTGGGTCAGACCCCACTTATTGTTATAAGGTGTACGCTGAATCACAACTTCTGATTTTTTTGTTGATTTTCCAACTGCAGTCCATCAGGGTACCAGGAAACTTCACATGGGAGAGCAGCCAGAGACCAGAAAATCAAGCCAAGAACAGATACAAGAACATTATTCCATGTAAGTCCAGTATACCATATAACCAGAAGCTAATCTCTATAATTTAATTAAAAGTGGCCCAAAATTACCAACCTAAAAAAAAAAAAAAGAAGAAAGAAAGAAAGCCAGGGAGGGGAGAGAGGGTTCGGCCCCTACCCCTACCCCTCCCCCTTATCACTCCCGAATCTCAGTTACTCAGGTATTTCCTTATGACTATTTCTTGGGTCATACAATTATTTATTTCCGTTAAGAATTAAGATAATTTCCCTTTCCTTTGTTACAGGAATAAAATGAAACGTGGCAGGCACTGCGTATGATACGCATTAGAATATACCACACAGGTGAATAGTGCTTTTCGCCCACGCTGATTGGCTAGTTCGAAAGCGCTTAGGAAGTACCTATTCACCTCCCGGGCAGCCGAAGAGACAAAATCGCGCGTCAAAAATTTAATTTCTAACATTTTTGGTGTATTGAAATAGAGAAACTATATTTTTGGTTGCTGTGTGGTATATAATGAAACAATTATTCACCTCAGTGTTAAGTGAAAGTGGTGGATATTTACCTCGCCGCTTCGTGGCTCGGTGAATATCTACTACTATTCACCTCCACTTCGGTAAATAATTGGTAACTATCTGAAAAGAGTATATTTTTCGGGCATTAGGCTTTTTGATAAACTTCACGTCAGGCCAACCGTCACAATTGTGTTGCTCTTCTTTGACTCATTTGCAGATGACCACACGAGGGTGCAATTAGTGGAGTTGGATGGTTATCCAGGAAGTGATTATATCAATGCCAACTTCATTGATGTAAGTACAATAACAAAAAAATAGCAACAATAATGAAATGTTTAAACCTTTATCCTTTACAATGATCGGTATCTAATTTTTCCTCTCGAGATCATTGCCAAATCAAAAGTCCAGGCCATGAGAATTAAGGAATTGATTGCCAACTACAGAAGCTCTTACGTATTCTCTCTGTCAGTTCAATACAAATTATGTCGTGCACAGCATGGTGAATTTTCAAACTGATATTTGGGTGTTATGAGCGTTGGAGTAAGGTGTGAGGTTTGAAGCAGTTATAGCAACGATAACAATTGTACACAGTTGCAAAAATCAGGTTGTGAAGTATCTCCCATGAGTTGCACTCAGGTCTCTCCCGGCCTGACAATGTTAACTGGACTACCTGATAAGTTCCTTATTGACTATTATTTGTTTATTTGTTTATTTTTAGGGTTACAATCATCACTGCAAGTTCATTGCTACACAAGGTTTGAGTTTCTTTGAGTTCTTTCTTCTTCGATGGAACAACCTACCTTTGCCATGGGAATGTCCCACTCGATTGCCATCAATGATGCTGAACGTTCACTCATAATATTTACTTGAGCAGTTGGGTTTTTGTCATGGATTCTCGGACGCTACCAATTATTAAGGAATTTTTGTAAAGTAAATGTAGGCTGGACGCCAACGAAATGATCCCCCACCCAGTTTTGCTCGTTTGAGATCAAAAGCTATCAGAGACGGACGTAGGTTATGAGGGTGTTAACGAGGCCTTTATTTTTCCTTTCACCTGAGGTTTGACCTCAGGACTCGACAACGGCTCTTGACCATAGTGCCACATATTGGGGTACGAGACAATTCTCTGACCCACCCACCCCCCTCTTTTGCCATTCCGCTCCGCGCTGGCAATTTCTAATCACGTCTTATACATACATTTCAGGTCCTGTTGCTAGCACATTTGGAGACTTCTGGCGAACAGTCTGGGACCAAGGCGTTTGTATCATTGTCATGGTTACAAACATGGTGGAAGGAGGACGGGTGGGTTAAACTACATTTACACTGAACATCATTTTGATAATATGTCGGAGACTGGGCCCGAACGTAGTTGAGTTTTGATTGACACAGCACGTCAGTGCAGTGATGCTTGTCGCTTTAGAGGGAGTGTTTTTTCCTAAGAAAAGGTATAAGAGATTAAAAAACGGTTTTATTTTTATAGCAAGAAAACCTGTGATTGTGACTTTGGGATACTAAACTCCTACTGCCACCAAGGCAATCCCGATAAATACATAGGTCATAGGTAGAAAGAACCACTCAGAATGCAAGTAGAATTTTAAATCAAGAATACTTGTCTTTAGATAAAGTGTCTGAAGTATTGGCCGAGCGCCAGTCCAGAAATGTACGGTCCTGTCCTGGTTTCTCCGGGTGATGAGGAAGAACTTGCTGACTATGTGATTAGAAAGTTTTCGGTTCAGATGGTGAGTTTGTTTTGGATTATTTGTACCTACGTTGCTTTCAGTGAGATGGTTAGTGAGCCTATATGAGTCCGTGAATGATTTAGTCAGTTGAGTCAGCCAGTCATTGAGTCAGTCTCTGAGGAGGTCAGCCAGACAGTTAGTCGGTGAGTCAGTCGGTCAGTCTGTCAATCAGCTAGTGAGCTAGTCGATCAGTCACTCTATGAGTCAGCCAGTCAGTTAGTCAGACAATAAGTTGGTGACTGAAACAGTCAGTCAGCGGTGAGTCAGTCAGTGGTGAGTCAGTCAGTTAGTCGTTCTGTCAATCCGTTTGTGATTCAATGATTTCTTGGACAGTTGAAGTCTGAGATCTGTGAGCTCGTTTGAAGTACGTGTGTAAAAAAAGTACAAGATATCTACCCAGCTACATAGGATAATACAGGGAAACTGCGAGTTGACTAAGGTGCATATAAGCTAGAATGCTGACTTTCCTTGTTATCTTTCTTAGACCTCAGACACAGCCGAGTATCGCGCTCGTGAGGTGATACAGTATCACTTCACGGCTTGGCCTGATCAGGGGGTCCCTACCCACGCAACCTCCTTGCTTGCTTTCCTGAAGAAGGTCCGTGCCTCTGTGCCAGAGGATTCTGGGCCCATTTTGACCCATTGCAGGTAATGAGATGGGACCTTGAAATAATTTTTCGCAGCTGTCGTCCGTTACGCTCTAACGACAGCCACAGAAATGAGTCGAAACATTGCGGCGAGGTAGACGGGCAAAGTTCCCTTGAAAAATAGACGAAGAGGAAAATTGTTTTTTGAAATTTGCGTTTAGCCTGTTTATATTTTGTATTGGAAGTTTTTGTATCCTTCTTCCTCTTCCACTGTTGTTATGATAAAAGATATTTATTGGCCTGTGCCATTTATTTTGCAGTGCTGGTGTAGGACGCACCGGGACATACATTGTACTTGACGCCATGTTGGACCAAATAGATGCTGAGGGAGTGGTAGACATCTATGGTTTTGTCTGTCATATCCGTCAACAGAGAAGCGCCATGGTGCAGACAGAGGTATGGCATAATTTAACGCGGGGTGGGAGGGAGGGGGGGGTAAGGGATCGGAGGAATTTAGTTGTGTCACTTAAAATATACTTAATGCCCATAGGCTCTAGAAAAAAAGACTCTCAGACCCCCCCTTCGATAAATATTGACTGATCCCCTTGTCTCTCCTTAAAACCATGAGAACCCCCAACCCCCCCCATGAATAATGACTGATCACCGTCCGTTTCCGTTGAAAACGATGTGATCCCCCCTCCCCCTCCCTCTCAATAGAAAGGTCCTCAGGCCCCCCTCCCCGTGCGATAAATAATGACTGGTTCCTTTGGAAGGACTTATGATATAATGACGTGGACGGTTGTATTTATTTATTTATTCATTTGTTTAATCTTTCTACGACAGGCCCAGTACGTATTTATCCATGACGCTCTGGTGGAGTATGTCACATGTGGCAGTACAGAATTTGCTGTGCGTGACCTACCAGAGAACTTGCGTGTTCTTAACACCATTGATCCAGACAGTGGAGATTCGCTTCTGGTGGTGGAATTCAAGGTATTAAACTTCTTTAAACCAGTAGATTTCGTGGAGTTTTGAGAGGGTCTTCCGACCGATCTGGGGATGCAGTGAGGTGTGAACAATTCTTAGAAAGTACTAGACTTCTCAAAAGTGTGTTTTTGTGAGGTTTTGATGTTTCACCGTTCAGGAGACAACACAGCTCCTTCTGATCATAATGTTTGATTCAGCAGTAATCTGCAGCGAGAATTTTGATTCTTGTGACACTTGGTGGGTAAAGGGTCAGGCGATCTTTCATCAATTTCGTAAGGGTGTAAGCCGATGTCATTTTGGAAACTTAATCTTCTTTAATAAGGGATGAAAGAAGCTCAAGGCTTCATCTTAATAGTTTTCTACGGATATACATAGGCATACTGAGCAAACAATAGCTTAGGAATTGAAAGTGCTTTTATTCCTTTTCCTGGTTTGTGTCGTTTCGAAGGTACTTTGTGAGGAAGAGTTCTCGCTTGCAGTATTTTATTAATAGTAGTAGCAGTATTTTACTAATATGTACTCATTGATTGATGTTATCATGTAGAACCTTGGCCTGGGTGACTCAGATTACGATTCATTCATCAGCGCCTCTCAGCCTGAAAATAAATCCAAGAACAGATTTGCCATACTCCCATGTAAGTTGAAATAATTTATAGGGAGTCTTATTTATAAAGAAATTAAAGGCAGTCGCCCAGGAGATTTAGTGAGAGGCACGGATTCGAATTTCGTCGAAGCCTGAATTTTTTCAGGTTTTTGTTTTGCAATTGCTTAAAGCTCATTCCACCTGCGCGGATCATTTCTTTGCTTTATTTCTGTACCAGAAATCCAATACAATTTATTTCCTTAAAAATTGAGAACTGAAATAGATTGCTTCAAACTTGATATACATTACCTTTATATGGTTCTATTTTCTTTCTAGTTGATCGGTCGAGAGTAAAACTGTGGCCTTTCACGGGTATGGTGGGGTCTGATTACATAAACGCAAGTTTTGTAGACGTAAGTACATTATTATTCAAATAATAATTGTTAATAAGTACATCAAAAGCATAGACTAGCAGGTAGTGAAACCTTTACACCCCAACATCAGTATGTATATTCTCCACACTGTTTCCTCCACACATTTCTTAAGGTGAGATGAACGACAGCTTCCCAAGTTACTGATCATTTTCTTTATTCTCATGACCTTAATGTCTGCTTTAGGGGTGAGATTGTGGGGAGAAATTAGATGCTAATCATTCTTAGGAGTCAAAGGGTTAAACTTATCCAGGCGGGTCATGTTTTAACTACTAAATATGATGCATCAAAGGCAAAAGAAAAGAAAGAGAGAAAATAAGGACGAGAAGAAAATGAGATTAAAGTTTGGAACCAAAGTTACGCGTAATTGTGTTCATCATTTATTTTAAAACATCCACATACTTACGGTATTAAACGTGAGTAGGAAAGTACATATTAGAGAACGAAAACTTACAAATAAACTCACAATACGGCAAATTATATACCTTAACGGTGCATAGCTTTACAGGAGAAAAACGAAAACGACGACGCTGCTTTTCACAAAGTGGACATGAACATTGGTCCACAGGACTAAATTTTTACTCAAAACGCGACAAATTACTCGACTTAATTACGTACATCACGCAACGATACAAACATCAACCACAAGTACGCAATACAACTAATGAAACATACAAACACTCACTGGTAATTAACACGTAAAACACAATACACACAGGAAACGGTTTGACAATAAGTTTCGCGATTACAGATATGATCAGAATCAGAGGGTTATCTTGGTACAACACCGAATTCTCTTGACTGGTTTGAAAAGCAGAGAGATAGGAAGAACTCACGCTTAGCTTTCGGGTTTCGGTTTGTACTACAAGTGCCCATAAATTTTTTTGCCAGTTGTGTGTTGTTTTTATTCCAACCACACCGTCTCCGTTGTTTTTTTTTTCTATCTGTTTTAGAGTTTCCAGCAGCGCGAGGCATTCATTGCCACCCAGGCCCCGTTGGATACTACGGTCGTTGATTTCTGGCGAATGACCTGGGAATATGAAGCTAATTGCATTGTCATGTTATGCACACAGAACGAGAGAGAAGAGGTTTGGGAGTTGATTTTTGTTTTAAGTCTAATATCTAATTGGGTGCAATTTCTACTCAACGTTTCCTTAATTTTTTGTTGGCGGGCTACTTGGCTTTAGTGCAGACTTCTCTTTAATTTTCAGTTGTCTGTGTGTTTGTTTGTTTGTTTGCCTGATTTACCTGATTTGCTGCATTCATTTGTCGTTTTCAGGGAATCTGTGCATCTTATTTGCCTCACAAAGAGGAGTTCATTGTTTATGGTTTGTTGATGATCGAGATTGAAGCGGAAGATCTGAGAAATGGTTTCTGTAGAAGACAACTGAAAATTACGAACACAAAGGTGAAAAAATAAACATTTTCTTTTTGCGTTCGTTACGATGGAAAGAAAACTAAGGAAAACTATATGGGTGTGTTTGCTGTATTGTGCGTAACTTGATGTCTATGGTTGAAGAACCTTTGCCGTTACTGTTCCAGTGAATTGACCAGTAATGAAACCTCCATACAGGAAACAGCGGTTGATACCATCAGCCGCTGTTTCCTGAGAACTGGAAAAAGTGTCTCCAGAACAGAGTTGTCTCAGTAGAGAACGTAGCATATAAGCGACGTATAACTCACCGCCGGGGTTAACCCTTTACACCCTAACATCAGTGTTCATATTCTCCTTACTGCCTCTATACATTTCCTGAAGCGCTGACAAGGAGAATTTGTTTAAAGATCAAGAGCTTTATGAGTTGGTGATCACTTCCTTGATTCTCATGACCTTAATGTTTGATTCAGGGGTGATGTTGGGAGGAGAAATTAGAAGCTGGTCACTTTTAGGGGTTAAAGGGTTAAGGCTCGAAAAAGGACCCTTGGATAACAAGTTCCGCGCGCCAGCGATCAAGCCAGCTTTTCTTCATGAGTTCTTAACGGTGCCTCATGATAGTTCACTTTTTTCCGACTGTCTGTCTTTATTACTTTGGTTTTGGTCGCACGACACTAATTGAAACACGCTCACGATAGCTTTAAACATCGTATTCGATAACATCGTAGCTTGCAGAGCTGGCGTAATTGTGGCGAGCGAGGGCTCGGAATTTTCATGGTGAAAGTAATAACGGCCGTTTTTTAATTTTACAGAAGCGGAAGGCTGGGGAGAGAAAGAAATTTGAATCAAGGGGGTGAGAGACGGTCCAAAGGAAGGAGAGGGGTGGGGGCTGGGTTAATAGAAATCCACCCCTTTCTCCGTCCCCCTTACCCTTACCGTCTACTCAAGCTTTAAATCAAACATGGCCGGTCGAATAGCCGATCGCGAGCTTGCAACATTAAATTGCCTTAAAAGGCACCTTCCCTACAGGGTAATAATATCGTGATTCAATGCTTTCTCTTGCAGAGCGGTGAAGAGCGCACCCTTTATCATTTTCATTTCACGGACTGGGCAGAGCGCTCAATTCCTCTTAATGGTGTCGGGCTTCTTGACATGATGAAATGTATCACAAGGGTGCAGCAGCAGACAGGCAATGGACCAATAGTCGTCCACTGCAGGTAAACCCTTTGAAAGTATCACATGAGACGGATCAATGTCAGTATCTGAGCAACTGTGCACCTACCCCTCCCTTAACCCAACATCAATCCTAACTTGTTATGAGTTGACTGTTTTTGGGTTAGGGGAGGGGTGGGTGTGTAGTTCCTCAGACACTGACATTGATCCCATCAAATCTGGTAATTTTGATCGTTCCCTGGATTGGCATCAATTTCTTCAAATGTTCCATCTGCAAAATACGTGTAGTTTGTGCAATTTTTAGATCCACATCTATATTGAATTTAAAAGTCATCCACCGGAAAATGCGCAGTATCCCGTTGGTTAAGGTGTCAATGGGCTCGTTTATTTTGTTGTCAGTGTTCTAGTTCTAAACTTCGCAAATTTGAATATTTTTAAGATTTTACCTACTGGCTTTGATTGAATTGCGAATGGCAGTTTTTATAGTTCTAACTAAATATTTTCAGGAAACATAAACACGTCGCCCTCCTAACGTTGTTTAATACGGAAACATTTTATAATTTGGTTATTATTCCATAATTAGCAAAGGAAACAAATGTTATCTCTGGTTCCCTCTCTTCTAGCGATGGAAGTGGTCGTACTGGCACTTTCTGCGCTATTAATATAGCGCTGGAGCGGGTCAAACTTGATGGTTCAGTAGACATGTTTCAGACCGTACGGCGCTTGCGTACTCAGAGACCTCTTATGGTACAGACAGCGGTAAGGAAAATCAAACGATGATACTCTTTATTCCAATAAGCATCTTAAATGTCTTGTGGCTCTGAGGGGGGATATAATAATAGCTGAAACGAAGTTTACGACCGTAATCTTCTTTTTCTCGTACGAATCCATGCCACGATATGTCACGTTCCTTTTTTACGCTTTAGAAAAGAAGTGATAAATTGAAGGAAACGATTAAATGAAATAACGGCAAGAAAGCAAATATTTAAGACATAACGATAAGCAGTTTAGGAATAAGGACGCTTTTGAATGGAGAATATCAACAGGGATTGTAAAAAACAAATTTGAAGAATTTATTCAAAATATTTCCAAGATGCACACGACAGAGCTACTTGTAAAGATGCTCAAAGATGCTCAAAGATGCTATAATGTTGGATAATATTCCACATGAAAATGATCAGTTCAAGGCTAAGATGATTACTGATGAGCACAGGGAGGAGGGGGTGGGATTATTTATGAGCAAAGTGCGTAAGGTGTATAATACCTCTTTCAGACCCTTACCCTTTTCTCCATTCTCGTTTCTAGCCAACAATTATTTTCTCTAGGTTATATAAGTTCAGTCTGCTCCTTGCTATTTGTGACCCGTTTTCCCTTGATCCTTGCGGGACCTTGAAGAGCATGTTGCTGTTACCTAACGCCGTCGATCCTCGACACAGTTTTTTACAGTTTATGCCAAGTGAAACTACAAAATTAAATTTTTGAATGCATGATCATTTCGGTGAGTACACTTTATTATTCTTGTCATATCCGCATCTTGCTAATCTTTGGTTGTCTTTTCCGTGACAGGAGCAGTACAAGTTCTGTTACGAAATGGTACGATTGTTTGTGGACTCGTTCAGCGATTATGCGAACTTCAAGTGATGCGAAAATACTGGAATATCTTCACAAACAAGACAAGTGCTATACAAAGTGTTGCACATTACGTGAGGCCTCTTGTCTCAGAGAGCTGGTAGAGCCCTTTAACATTATTTATGAAAAAGATTCAATGCCCTCTTTGTTGGAGAAGTCAGCACAATTTCTCATCAGATAGAGAGAACAGACAACTCAAGAAATAGATACAGTGATCTTTTCTCGATGAATGAAAAAAAAACCCTGTACGGAAAGAGAACTTCATGCCATAACGAAGTGAAGTTCATGAGTTGTTGGTAGTGGTTCTTTGAAGTTAAAATGTGCTTCCCAAGTGCACTTAAAAGGAAAGGAACGATTGTTTCGATCACGGTATTAATTTTGTTTCTGCAATAATGTTTAATTTTCATGGGTATTTTCTTGGAAAAGTGATGTAATAATTAAGTTATTTTAAAATTGGTGCTAAATTGCTCAGACGCATAATTCTAGAATCTCTGTAATTACAACTGGACCTCACTTGACTTTTCCACGGTTTCATTAGGATTTCATCCCTTTACAAGCGCTCGGGATGTCCCGATAGAAAAAGTTTTTCCGTGATAATTGTTGGGATGTTCTGACAGCAAGTCAAGGGTTATTTTTGTGTAGTGCTATTTTTAATGTAATATTTTGTATAGCTTCGAAGAAGGCATGCGCGAAAATCTTTTCATTTTTGATGCTATTACTTATTTTATTCATCCAATTGTATAAAGGCTTTCAGTCGAAGAGAACAAAAAGGTATTTTTTATAAGAGTTATTTCTTTAGTAGCAAGAACTTTTTTCAACAGTCGTCAAATTTACAAGATGCAAACGACACATAGAAGTGTAGAATACCTTTGTAGACAGAATTTGTAACACATACCAGTGCATAAGGTATTTTTGCAGCATGTAGAAACTTCAAGCCTATGACTCGGATGGAGAGCCGTAGTTTTTTTCGCAATTTCTCTCACGAATTATTTTTCATTAAACAAATTCGGAGCCATTGAATATGCATCGCTCCATATTTGAGTCTTGGGAAGTTTTCATGGTAGTATTCTGTGCTTCAGACTCGTTTCCAGTCATGAGGAAGGTTTAGAGGAAAGCGCATAGCATCAGGGGAAAACGTAATCTTAACGTCCTTTTCAGCATGACATGCAATGTTAATTATTAAGACAACCCCTTGCCCCCAGCTTTGTTGCCATTCGGTAGCAAATGGTATGACTTTGTCCTCAAAACAATATAGCAATAGATTCCAGACTAATTTTCAAGGTCCAAATTCCCAATCTGCAAAATATGGCTTAGTCTTAAACCTTCAAATATTTTTACCACTTCGGTTCTGGATTACAAAAGCATTTTAGTAATCTAAAAAGTGGTGCCCAAGTTTGGTAGGTCTGGTAACTCTTGTTCGTCACTATAAAGAGAACAAAATCGAATAAATATGCTTCGAAATCATTGATTGTATCAGTTGTATGTGCTGTAGCTTAGAGAGCGAATTCTGCTGCGGAAAACAATAGGGCTCTTTTGTCTGTTATTTTGTTTACCAAAAACATGGTTCGTGCAGAACCTGTCGATCAAGATCGCTCATGAAAAAGCTAAAACATCCACTTTGAGCGTCACCTTCGTTTGATGCCCCGCATTCCGCTCGTTGTGTAGCTTTTCGCGCATGCTAAAGAAAGTATTGGCCCTAACGGACTCGCGCGATAGATGACCAAATTCTCTCAGCCACGGAGCTGCGTTGCACGCGTTCAACGCGACGTGATACCGTAAACAACTCGGGGTTTTCTTTACATTATTTGTTCTTTAAATCGATCTTTATCTTTGAGACGCGAATCTTCAATTATAAATTTCTTTTTGAGAATTTATGATAAGCATCATTAAACAAAAGGAATGGAGATTGGACAGAAACCCAAAATATTGTGAATAGCTTGGATTGTATACGATCTGATGAAAAACACGAGACGTGAGAACAGTTAGAGTCCATTGGCTGTTTGATTTATTTCAATTATTAAGTCAACATTAGTGGCTAGATCCATAGGTAACTGACACACTCTTACGGTCTGGGAAATCATCATCTCGTTACTCAACGAAGTTACCGAAAATCCGCAACATGCGCCTTACCCATAATGTCAACAAGCGCCCCCGTCACCCCGTCTTTCACTTCCTCACATAGAAAGATCAAGCTGTTTCTGTTTCTATCCGCTCCAACTTGAATCAGTACAGGAAAATTGTTTCATTTCACTTCCTGTTTTTTCTATTTCCAGGTGCTTGCTTTTCTTTTAATTTTTGTCTAAATTGCTGCGCCCTTGGTGTACGCTGTTAACTTCCCAGGAACAACTAGACCGTTCTCTGAAATGTTTACTGTTAAATCCCATTTATTTTTATCATTTTATCATCAATAAGGACACTGGTGCTTGTTCTAGGAAATATCGCATTTGGACATGTTTCAAGGTCGTAATTACACGCGAGGTGAATGCGACCTTAAAACGCAAGTTTTGATAAAAAATAATTAATATTGTGCTATCAAACACCACATTTCAAGGTAAAATGATTTTAAGTCAGTTGCAAGAACGTACTGGTTAGAATTTGAGTTTAAACTTGTTAAAAACCATTAACCAGTAACCACAACTGCTTCAAGAGGACTTAAGGTCGGAGCCTGATTATCAGCGCTTGTGCAGAACGCTGGAAATGCCTTTTAGGAAGATAGACGAGAACCTCAAGGTAATTTAAAGCTTAGGAAAGACATTATTAACAGTTTACAATCTCTTGCCTCAGGCTTTTCCACAGGAAGCCCAAGTAATGAGCTCTTGAAACACAACACCTCCATTTGCTGTGAGGTAAGAGTCACGTTTCGCTAAATCAAACGGTTGTTACGTAATGATTTAATCGCAAAGGTCACGCATTGCTTTTCGTTTCGCACATGGCCTTTTTTCTGACGGAAAATGAAAAATATCCGTCCTCTTTCAGTGGGTCTTGATCACCTGTAAGTAAGATTGATGTATTAGAGAACAGCGAGGATATTGGCTGTTTTGATATTAAATCGACTTAAGGGATCCTGAAGAAACTATGTTAGGAAACCACATTGCTTTCCGTCCCAAGCTAAAAATAACCCACGTTTCGTATACATCGACATATTCAACACCCTCATTTCTCCTATCTGTTCCCTTATTTTCTCTTGGCAGCAGCTTCTCAAAGACACGCTGAAAACCATGAGCAGCGGTGTATAAAAATGGAAAGGTACTCTATATACGATAAACTCGCCTCTTATATAAGCCGCAGATTATTTTCCTCGCAAACAAAGGCCCTAATGTTACAACTGATAAAAAAGAAAAAAAAACCTATTCATCTCACGTAGGCTTATAACCTTAGAACATATTAAGCTTTGTATACCGTTTTCTCGGATAAAATTCCAGCTGGGTGGTTTCAAACAGAAGCTCTCCCACCCAAAAGTTTACATAATCAAGTGTTATCAACTTCTTCTTTAGTCTGTGAAGAACACTTCGTGGTCATTTCTTACACCCAACCATGCAAGATCTCTCTGCTTGCACTTAAGAGACCCAAAACGCCCCACAGCATTCGCCCTGCTAGAAGTTTTCTGATTTTCTAAAGCGAGAGACGCTAGAGACTAGTTGCCTCGCCTGCAGAGGTTTAAAGGGCGATGAGGCCGAAGATTTAATGGTCTTTTACATACAGCATACTTTTCCTTGGCTGTAACAGTATTTGAAGGAAAACGTTTACTTCGACAAATATAGCAAGACGCGTTTATTGATCGTAGGCTTACACAAAAACAAAATCATAATCTCAGGGATCAGACACGTGACCGGACCATATATAGTAGAAGTCCATGTGCAATTTTTATAGAAGCTAATGTAGTGAAGTGGGTAATCAACGTTCCTCATGAAGTCACAGGACAACCAGGTTACGTAACAAACAGACGCATCTTGCTGTGGCGTATCTTAGGGAGGGGGGTTCTATGAGGCTCGCTCTTCGCTGGAATCACTCGTCACTTGCTATTACAGAGGGGCCACATTTCCCTGAACTTTCCTTAGAAACTGTAAAAATTTAGGAAGCTTGGCAGTAATCTGCTCCGGTTCCCAGTTTCCCTCATTTAGTACTTGGTCCCATTCTTCACAGTTGAGATGAACATTCGGCTTTTCATGATTGACAAAAGACATTAAACAAACAAAATACATTAGTAATGAAAAGAAATTAAAAACAATATACAAATGCTGTAGCAATACTCACATCAACTGATCCCATTTAAGCACAGAAATAATTACTGATTGTAACTCCACGATACCTCATGGTCACGCTTCAGATGAATTGTAGGTCCTCTCATATAAATATTTTACAACGACGTTAATCCGACCATTCACTTCTTGTTACCAAAAGTTTACTTCTATTAAGAACCGAATCTTATTCAAATTTTCCAAATGAGTGGACATAACTGTTTAATAAATGCGACCCTTTTCGCTTATTGCCTGTATCTTGTAAAGTAATTAATAAAGACACGTCACCGAGCTGCCCACTTTGGGAGGTGGGATGTAAATGTAGAGATGTGATGTGAATGAGATGTGAATGCAATGTGATGTGAGTATAATGTGAATGTAATGTGATGTGGTGTGATGTGAATGAGATGTGAACGTAATGTGATGTGAATATAATGTGAATGTAATGTGATGTGGTGTGATGTGAATGAGATGTAATATGAAGCTGAATGTGAATGTAATGTGATTTGATTTGATGTGAATGTGATGTGAACGTAAGGTAATGTGAATATGATGTAAACGTAATATGATGTGAATGAGATGTGAATGTGACGTGTGAGATGTGATGTGAATTTAATGTGATGGGATTTTATGTGAATGTAATGTGAACGTAATGTGATGTAAATATGACGTATATGTAATGTGATGTCATGTAAATGTGATGTGAATGAGATATGATGTAATGTGAATGTGATGTAATGTGAATGCGATGTAATGTGAATGTGATGGGAGGTGAATGTAACATGATGTGATTTGATGTGAAAGTGATATGATGTGAACGTAATGTTATGTGAATATGATGTAAATGTGAATGTGGTGTGATGTGATGTAATGTGAAGTGCATGTAACGTGATATGATTTGATGTGAATGTGATGTGATGTGAACGTAATGTGACCTGAATATGATGTAAACGTGAATGTTAAAGTGAATGTGATGTGAACGTAATGTGATGCGAATGTGAATGTGAAAGTGAATATGATGTGATGTGAACGTAAAGTGATATGAATATGATGTGGATGTAAAAGTGAATGTGACGTGAATGTAAAAGTGAATATGATGTGATTTGGCTAGACATGATGTGATGCGAATACGTTGTGATGTGGTATAATGTAGTATGATGCAAGTAAGTAACGCACCGATGACTCAGTGAGCGAAGGGACAAGCAAGGCTGTTTTGTGGACACTTAACATCTCAGGCATCAAAAGCAACGGAACAACAGCCAAGGCAACAAGGTTGTGGCTGAAGTTAATCTTAGGGAAAAAATGAACATCTGCCTCTAAGCCCGATTCCGTTGCTTTCCCTGTACAATCGAATCTGTTCAATCCTACAAATGTATCTCCATATGTTCCAAAATAGAGTCGAGTTTCATGTATCTAAACCGTAGTTATGCTACTCCTTCAGATATCAGGTTTTAAACAAAATAAATATGAGCTCATATCGCTAACTAAGCCACCTGTGATCGAACGAAGAAAAAATGATATTCATGAAGAATTGCACCTGATGGTGAGGACGAATTTGAATCAGGGAAATGCATATAAGTGTTAAACTGTTTGTGTATGATTAACAATACCTTCGCTTCTGATTCATTGAAACTGTACGCATCAGTCTGGTCGGCATTCACTTTGTTTAACTGGTCTTTGCTAACAGTTAAAGTAAACGCGTCTCCGTCATGTTCATACCGATATGTCTTTCGAAGGCAGCGGCGCTGAAAAGACAGGTCAAACCCATCTGGTAGCTCGGAAATTGGTGGAAACTTCAGCTGACCATCATCAATCCTCATCTTCATGAGGTAGTGTTCTAAAAGTTTGCGCTCTTTTTCTGCTTGTGGTTTTGTTTGTGGAAACTTTGGAACTAAAAGAGGAAAGAAGTGAGGTCAGACTATGTCCTTTTTTGTTCTGCATAGTAACATACATGCAATTTTTTCATTCGAGTCTCAAACCTTAAATTATCGTCATTTCAGTTTCATTATATGTGATGGGTGGACCAACCACTTGAAGTTAATTATATTCAGATTTTAGGCCCTGCCCTTTCACCGACCAGGCTTAAGGTGACCATCAAACTTAGTCTGGCGTGCTAATAACCTATTTAGCCTGAAATTTTTCTGTTCTTGAATGGGAAGGAAATGCCACGAAGTTGTAAGCAACTATATTATCATAAATGTCCCACAGTCATATCTAGAGAAGTAAATAACACGCAGAATCATATGATACAGAATCATAATATTTCTTTTATCTTAAGTTTGAGAGAAACGTTTCCTTACATGTTCGTATTTTCAAACGGCAATCAAATCCTGCAGACGGCGATAGAATGTCGATTGTCATTTGCTGATTAAATGTATCGCTGATGTAGAAAATTGGTGCGTTCGATGCATCTCCACTATGGTCGTCATGCAAGATTTCTGTCGAGGTGTTTCTGACAGAAAGTTGAGGGCTGCGACGGAACGCCAGGGAAGACGCTGAAGCGCCTTCGACCCCAGGTTCTTTTTCGATGAGCCATACCTGATAACGGAGGGATAATGATAACAAATAAAGAGAGAAAATTTGGTCGGGCCCTGGCTAATTTACACCGTCTGTAAGTGAAATCTTGGTGAACTGGTTTAGCAACACTTTTATATTCTTTAACTGGCCAGACGCGAAACAAAATGTCAGAAGGCTCTCTTCTGCTAGACGTGTAATCATGCTTGTCTGTTATTGCAGTGTTACGAACCCTACACAGCCTCTTTTTCGATAGCTCAGAGTTCATCAGCAAAAAAATTACTTGAAACTGCTCAAGGTATAAGGATCACAAATCAAGACAATATCCCTTAATTCGTCGTGTTATCTCCCTGTACACTATTTGATACAATATGCATAATAGAACACCATGGTGCTCACAGAGCTACCTTAAAATCAATCGACACCATAGGTTTGATAAAAAGTATAGAAGGCCAGATCGTTAAGAACATTTTGGTAGAGTAGAAACACGCCTTCAGGAGCTTTAATAGAGTTAATAAAAAGCTGTTGAACGCTATGTGAACCGTGGGGGTTGTAAAATTTCCTTTTATCTGAGCTAACATGGCTTAATGTTTGGGTTAGGATGGTTAGGACGGAGATCGAACGTTTTAATTGGTTAATTTAAAGTACATGAAATGGCAGTAAAACACAATTAGAAAGGTGATGGCGTCATAGCCCTACTTAACGATGCTTAACGGATTAACGAACAAAGGTGGAGACGTGAATCAGCTTGGGTTCGACATCTGTCTACCTTTAGCTTGACATAGATGTCTTTTTCGGGTTGAGTGTGCTTGATTAGTGACCTTAGTCTAGAGGCAACGGTAGCCCCAACCCGGCAGGAAAAATGATTCGGCACATGTTTGGGTTAGGATGATGAGGATGGAAATCTAGCATTTTTCTCCATCGAACGTTTTAATTGGTTAATTTAAAGTGAACGAAATGGTAGTAAACACAATTAGAAAGGTGATGGCATCTTAGGCCTAGTTAACGATGCTTAAGGATTAACGAACAAAGGTGGAGACGTGAATCAGCTTGGGTTCGACATCTGCCTACCTTTAGCTTGACATAGATGCATTTTTCGGGTTGAATGTCCTTGCTTATTGACCATAGTCTAGAGGCGACGGTAGCCCCAACCCGGCAGAAAAAATAATTTGGTACATGGTTAAATTACCTTGACTAGAAATTCTAAACCAGATGGCGTTAAGAAGGTGAGGTCGTATCGTAGGTCATCACTAGCTGTGCATGCATAGGCTTTGAGAGACTTTTCAGTCTGCTCAACTTCGATTGTCTCAACTTTCCGGAATATTGTGTCCCAACGATCGTCATCCTTTGATTCAATTCTCGCTTTGACCTCCTTCGGGGTGAAGATGTCATCCTCTTCATCTACCGAAAGAAGTATGAAAAAATCTCTTATTGATACCTCACCAATTCGCCGAAAGACTCATAAAATCTACAGGACTGACCTTCATCAACCTTGATTAGGTAGGCGTGACCAAAATAACACGAAATAACTACCATGACCATCTCCTCCTCCTTCTTTTTGTGAATTTGCTTCAAAAACCGCAGGACCTCTTCTTCTAGGATTTCCGTGCCCACAAAACCAGAGGGTGTTTCCTTTGAAATAATACATTCATTAGTTGAAGTAGCCGGCAAGATATAAAAACACACCTTTCATAGTGAGACGTTCACAAGAACCATCACGCACAGTTTCGTGGATAAGAAAAAGTCTAAGAGATAAATAGACCTGGTGTTTGCAGTTCTTAAATTCTCTTCAATGCTTGATGATTTCTCGACATGATTTCATCACATCGTTGGTATAAAAACCTGAATGTAGCTCTAATGTAAGACGACGAAGCAACTGCAGTTCTGTACTTTTATGCTGAATCTCTTGTAGTGCCGCCTTTTTACTCCCAAAACACTCGCCCATGGGCGGCTAAGCAAGTTAAAGACGAAGCCTGCTGGCTAAACTAGTTTTTGGCCGACGGAATGGGTTGATGTGTAACTTTTGCTTGCAATATCATTAACACTCCTAGATTACCATCTAGCAAATATCGTCTTGTTGTACCACGAGATTTTCAAAAGGGACATTAAAGAGAATCTATGGTAGTTAGAAAGGATAGTTAGTAATCGAGTCTTGCGAGCGAAGGGACCAGCACAACTGGTTCTGTTTCCGTGAGTGTCTCAACGAACTATTCTTTTTCAAGTTGAAACGGTGGTCGAAGCCCTCTTCCAGTACTCCCAGGAGGGTTCCGATAAAAATAGGGTTGAATAATTAAAGAAAAAATAAAATTATTAGCTTTCACAGCATTTTTTGTTAGGTATTTCCTTCAAGACAGATTTGAATTCAACGACATACCCCTTTTAAAGGATCGTCCTGTAGTTTTAATTTGAAACACTTGTCTCTGGATAGTGGCGGTTGTGCGATGGATAGCTTAAACTCATGGTCTTCTTCCAAATGTGCAGTGTCCACATGGACAACTTTTGCAACGTATTTTTCCTTGCCTCCATTCTTCATAGGGGAGAAAAATGATAATCGCATACTTAACATGGTAAGTAACGTTCCCTTTGAATTCAATAGGCATTTGGTGTAATTGTTCCGGTTATTAGAGAGATGCACGCGCTCTGATGGGTCGAGGATTGCGTCTTACCTAACTATAATCACCTCGCGCGAGGAAGCGCGAGGTAATTGTGGCAGGAGTGCTAAATTTCAAAGTGGTTGCCTCGCCTTTTGTCAATGTTTGCGAGGAAGTGATGAGCACGATAGAAGAAAATTCAACCGCGAAAAGCAAAAGAAGGATATTAAGTTTTTGTTGATTTAATTAAATAGACCTGCCAAAGCTCCTTGCTTATCTTGATACAAGTAATCACCAGCACCTGAGCAATTATACTAAAAAAATTATCGCCTCAGGCTCAGTGAACACTGTTGAGTAATCCTCGAGACGATAATTCAACAACATTCACTGAACCTGAGGCGAATAATTGTTAAATATACACCTCTGTAATTTCAAAAATCATACGTATTGTGTGGGATTTATCAAGAGGACATGTTGGGCTTGTTACCTGATTATGGCCACTGATGTCTTCACCATTAAAGATATGTTTTATCCACTGGTCACGGAAGCCTGTTACCATAATCTTTTTATCAGGCTCCCAAGGGGAACAGAGATTCTGCAGGCGATCGAGTTGTGCTTGCATTAGGAATTGGGTAATTGGTTTTCATTAGCAGTGGTCAATTATGGAAGTTGTACCTTAAACTCAGCTTACTAGCAAGCACAGACAAGCAAAATCAAATTAACTGACTGCTCATTGACTGATTCGCTCCGTTGCTTGCAACTTGATAATATTCTGGGAGTCGCTGGATATTGGTATTCTGTCCCTTGGTGATATCCACCTGAAAAATCCCACAAAGTACCCTATATGTCACAGAGCGACTTACCATGGTTTCCTTTATTTCCCGAATAGCTTGCTTCTTGCTCTCAGGAGATCCCTTGATATACAAGCTATTCTTCTCGGAGACTTTCAAAGTTGCCTTAGTTTTCGCTTCTATCTTTTTCAAATTCATACCGTTTTTCCCAATTACTTTAGCCATGAAATCTTCTGGTATGAAGGTCAACTCTTCCCAAGACCCTCGGTCAGGGCTGTCTTCTCCCTGGTTGACATGTTTAAAATGCAAAAAAAATATTGAGCTTTAAATGTAGTCACGGGAGTGAGAAAAATTACGGAAAGAAACAGGGAGGCGCGCATGAAAATGAAGGAACGAAATTGACACAAAGGGTGGAAGGAAAGAGGGGAGGAAGGTAGGGAAGGAAGGAAGGCAGAAACAAAGGAAGTAGGAGGGAGAGGAGGCAAGGGAGAGGGTAGAGATAAAGGAGGGTTGGAAGGAAGTAAAGTAAGTGGGAAAGAAGAAAGGAACGAACAATAGAAAGAAGGAAAGAAGAAAAGAAGAGAGGAGGAGGAAAGGAAGGGAGAAAGGAAGGATGCAGGAACAGAAGAATGGAAGCAAATGAGGAAGAATGGAAGGATGGAAGGATTGAAGGACAGAAGAATAGAGAGAAGAAAGGAAGCAAATAAGGAGAAGTGGAAGGATGGAAGGATTGAAGGACAGAAGAATGGAGGGAAGAAAGGAAGGAAATAAGGAGAAATAGAAGGATGGAAGGATTGAAGGAAAGAAGAATAGAGGGAAGAAAGGAAGCAAATAAGGAGCAAAGTAAGGATGGAAGGATTGAAGGACAGAAGAATAGAGAGAAAAAAGGAAGCAAATAAGGAGAAATGGAAGGATGGAAGGATTGAAGGACAGAAGAATAGATGGAAGAAAGGAAGCAAATAAGAAGGAATGGAAGGATGGAAGGATTGAAAGATTGAAAGACAGAAGAATAGATGGAAGAAAGGAAGCAAATAAAAAGAAATGGAAGGATCGAAGGATTGAAGGACAGAAGAATAGAGGGAAGAAAGGAAGCAAATAAGGAGAAATAAGAATATAAGGAAGCAGATAGGGAGGAATGGAATGGAATGGATGGAAGGATTGGGGGAACCAAACTTCCGTTTCGAATAAAAGATTTAATCCTCACAAAGTGAAAACTCAAATCACTAGAAAAACACAACTCAAAATCTCTGCTCTCTCAAAAAACGTCCGCGATACGTATTTTTTACG